GGGAATGAGACACATGTGTTGGTGTTCTGCCCTTAGTGGGGGACCCAAGTCAGTGGGGGGAGATCTCAATGCTCATGCCAATAACTGGGCATTGTCAGCTGTAGCCCTGACAATGAGGGGTAACAGCCATAATGATACAAGTTTGATTCATATCAGGCTTTATGACTGGAACATGGGTACTTGTCCAAGCTTGTCCTGTGCTTGTCTGAACTCAGAACACCTGGTGCTGGTCAAAGCAATACAGCAATTATGGGATTTTGCCAGAGGGTGAGCACAAAGGATCCTTGTTTTGCCAAGCTGGGGCACAGCTTGCTTGCTGGGCTTTCGCTCTGGAAACCACAGTGTCCCCTAATATCTTGCCAAAACAAAATTTTAAATTAAAAAATTTATAATTAGGGTTTGGAGTATGTCCCAACCTCCTTATGTGGAATGTGCTGACCACTATTACATACAGAATAAATATAAAGAAAACAATTAGAATTAAATAGGAAGAATAAATTCAAAGGAATGGCAAAAGTGGACCAGATGAAGGAGAAGCCTTGGGCCTTTGCAATTCCCATCCCCTGCTACCACAGACCAAGCTCTCCACCCACACAAGAGGGAGTTGTGGAGGGGGAACGAAAATTGGTGGGAAGACAGAAAGGACTTGAGCATCAGCAGCAAACATCCCTGGAATGATCAGGGGGAGAAAAGCAAGAGATTGAGTTGGCCCTCCCAAGTAGCCATCATTAAATACACCATCCCTGTGAATTTTACTGCCGAATATAAGCAGACATTTATCAGACTGAAATGGTACAGGCCCCTATTACAGTCTATCCAAACCACCCAAGCGACTCTCCAAAAATCTGTGGGCACAATAGCAACGTCTCCATACCTTGCAGAGGAGACCACCCTTTACTGTTGAGAGTAAAACTTTAGATATATAGACACTTTTTTGCTTACACAGAGATGATCGAAGGTTTGAATCAGAAGTTTTGAGTAAAAATCTCAACTTAGAGTTTTCTTAGGAAAGGGCCTGTCTAAATGATGAAATCTTACCATGAGCACTAGGAGGAGAGTGTGTTTTCCTAGGAAACCCCAAGCCAGACCTGTTTTTTTTTTTCCCTTTCAACTCCCTTCTTGGTCCCCATAACTGTGATGTTTAGTTGAGAGATATAGTTTCTGGTAACTTAATCGTTTCATTAATAAGGCCAGTAGGTTATTAATAAAAGGATGGTCATTTGGCCATCTGTTTTAGACCAAAGACCCCTAATGGTGGTGGGGTCATACTTTATATGCCCTTCAAAGAGGAGATGTTTCTGAGGGGTGGCAGTTAACTCTGATTGGTTATCACAAAGACAGGGGTGGGTTATATTAAAATGAAGGTTTTGGGGTACATGAATTAGGTCACTTAAATATTTGTCAAAGAGACATCAATTTCCATATCACCTGTCTTGAAAATAGGGAGAGGTCTGTCTGAGCAAACACAATCAGCAGGAATACATCCATTAATGCATACTTAGAATTACTTTTACTGTCTGAGTAGATCTAGCTCTGGGTAAGTCTCTAAGATAAATTTCCGACACTAGTTGGTTTCTGGATAAGGAAGCAGAAAGGGGGAAGATCATTAGTCCTAATACAAGAATTAGTTATTAAACATAAGAGAAAATATTCATTTCTCACACCAGATCGCTATCCAAAATTGTTGGATCAGCTCACAGATTGGCCAACAATGAATTGAGGTCCCAATTTTCCCACATCCCCTCCGCCATTTGTGACTTTCCTCTATCATTCTAGCCAATCTGATGGGTTGCTTTAATTTCCCCTTCCCTAATCAATAATGATTTCACATATTTCTTTCATATGAATATAAATTGTTTTGATGTATTCATCAGAAAAATTGCCTGTTCATATCTCTTGACCATTTATCAATTGGGGAATGATTCATATTCTTATAGATTTGACAAAGTTCTTTATATATTTGAGATGAGACCTTTATCTGAGAAACTGCCTATAATAATTCTTACCCCAGTTTTCTGCTTTCTGAACTTGGGTACATTTGTTTTATTTGTACAAAACCTTTTTAATTTAATGTAATCAAAATTATCCATTTTACATCTCACAATGCTCTCTCTATCTTGTTTGTTTATAAATTGTTCACCTATCCATAAGTCTGATAGGTAATGTGTTCCATGTTTGAGGTCATGAATTCCCCTAGCTGGGGAAACCTGTACCTCTCCCATAACTGTGGGTAAGTTTGATACCACAGGAAGATGCCAAGGGGCTCCAGATTGATTACAGGTGTTTAATTAGTCATTATAATTATTTACAGGGGCAATCTGGAGCAGCTGCTAGACAATACAGTGGATCCCTGCAGAGATCCCAGGAAAGCCCAGTGGTAATTATAAAAATCAAACAAAAGGAGTACATCTCTAGTGTTTGGTGCATATTTTGGGATTCTGCTTAGTAATGAATTCATTTTGTGAATCTTACTCTCATTGGATTTGGCTTAAGGAGGGAATAACATACACACTCAAATGGGTATGGAAATCTGTTACCCTCCAGGAAAATGGGGGGGGAAGGGGATAAGAGAGGTGGGGATGATAGAAGGGAGGGAAGATTGGGAGAGGGGGTAATCAGAAGCAAACACTTTTGAGGAGGGACAAGGTCAAAGGAGAGAATAGAATAAATGTGGGGGGGGATGGGATGGAGGGAAATATAGTTAGTCTTTCACAACATGACTATTGTGGAAGTGTTTTGCATGACTACACATGTATAACCTACATCACACTGCTTGCCTTCTCAATGAGGGTGGGTGGGAAAGGAGGAAGGGAGAGAATTTGGAACTCAAAGTTTTAAAAACAAATGTTAAAAATTGTTTTTACATGCAACTGGGAAATAAGATATACAGGCAAAGGGGGTATAAAAATCTATCCTGCCCTACAGGAAAATAGAAGGAGATGGGGATAAAAGAAGTGGGGGATGACAGAAGAGAGGTCAGGTTGGGGAAGGGTATTCAGAATGCATGCCCTCTTGGGATGGAGTAGGGGAGATATAGGGAGAAAATTTGGAACTCAAAATCTTGTGGAAGTGAATATTGAAAACTAAAAATAAATTAATCAATAAAAAAAATTTAAAGATATAGTCACACAAAACAAACACAAAAAACAACAAATCAAAGTAATGAACTTATTTCCAAGCTTGGGCATTAAGCCAATGTTGATGGGTAAATGCCCAAATGCAAGATTTTTTTTCTGGTCGCGTACTGGACATGAACCATCACTATGTCCAAGTTATGGCTTTTATTGGTCACAGTATCTAAGTTACGAGTCAATGTCTAACTTATGCTTTTTTTTTTTAACAGGTCACCCATGTCTGGGCTTCCAACTTTCACAGAGTTTAAGTTAATGGTTTTTGACTTCTTCCTGTGAATTATGGCTTTTCCCCAACTGGGACCCCACAATCCACCCCTGAAAAGTTGCCCATACTTTTTTTTTTTTGGTGAGGCAATTGGGCTTAAGTGACTTGCCCAGAGTCACACAGCCAGTGAGTGTTTTATGTCTGGGGCCAGATTTGAACTCAGGTCCTCCTGACTCTAGGCCAGCGCTCTATCCACTGTGCAACCCAGCTGCCCGCACCCATACATTCTTTCCGAATATGTTCTGCAAGGTCCCTTGGGTGGTTCTATACTAGGATGTTTACAGTCTTTTTGGGTACAGCCAGGGTGGTCCCATTTGTAAGCATGAACCACAAAAGCAGTACAAGCACAGGTAGGAAAACAACATGACCAATGAGAAAATTACACTTGTTCATAAAGTCTTTCCAGGTTTTCTCCATGTGCTCATCATTTCTTATAACAGAATAATATTCCATTACACTCATATACCACAATTTGTTCAGCCATTCCCCAATTGATGGACATCCCCTCAATTTCCAATTTTTTAATGATCTTTTTGGGATACAGACCTAGTAGTGGGATTGCTGGTTCAAAGGGTATGCACATTTTGGTTGTCCTTTGGGCATTGTTCTAAATTGCTCTCCAGAATGGTTAGATCAGTTCACAACTCCTCCAGCAATGTATTAGTGTCCTGATTTTCCCACATCTACTCTTAACATTTATCATTTTCCTTTTTTGTCATATCAGCCAATCTGAAAGGTGTGAGGTGGTAGCTCAGAGTTGTTATAATTTGCATTTCTCTAGTCAAAAGTGATTTGAGCATTTTTTCATATGACTATAGATAGCTTTGATTTCTTTATCTGAAAACTACCTGTTCATATCCTTTGACCATATATCAATTGGGAATGACTTGTATTCTTATAAATCTGACCCAGTTCTTTGTATATTTGAAAAATGAGGTCTTTATGAGAGATACTTGCTGTAAAGATCATTTTCCAGCTTTCTGCTTTCTTTCTCATTCTGGCTGTCTTAGTTTTGTTTGTGTAAAACCCTTTAAATTTAATATAATCAAAATTATCGATTTTGCATTTCTTAGTGCTCTTTCCAGAGTCTGTTCCTCATCATTTCCCCCTGAAACAAATGGAACGCAAATTCTTTTGGGGTATGGGGCAAAGGTCTCGGCTTGGGCCCATACTCCATCATTTTCTTATGGCACAATAGTATTCCATCACAATCATATACAATAACTTGTTCAGCCATTCTCCAACTGACAGACATGCCCTCTATTTCCAATACTTTGCCACCACTGAAAGAGCTGCTGTAAATATATTTGTACACATAAGTCTTTTTCCTTTTTGTTTTCCATCTCTTTGGGAACATATGTAATTCCTGAATAAAAATAAGTTGTCTACACTGACTAAATGTATATTACTAGATGAGTACATTAGTGACATACTATATATACTATGCTATATGTGATATTATTACTATAATATGATTACTATTTTATATATCATAATATATACTATATTATAATATACTATTACTATATGTGATATACTATAGCGATATTAGTGATATATCAGTAATTCTGGCTACATTCACTTCCCCTATGGAATCACAATGAAGTGAGTAATACTGATTGCAATAAAATAGGGGTATAAATAGAAACATTCTTCTTATTACTCTGCTGCATCATTTCTGGGTCTTAGTGACCTCATTTGGGGTTTTCTTGGTAAACATAACTGGAGTGATTAGCCATTTCCTCCAACTCATTTTACAGATTTAGAAACTGAAGCTAACCAGGGTCAGGGGAGATGAGGGGGCGGGGCTTCCGCTCCAGAAGTGCCCTGAGGAATAGCTGCAGTCAGGGAGATTCAGGACCACATTCCGGACCTGGGAGAGGGCCGAGCTCCAGGCATGCGCAGAAGATGCAGCCGTCTCCAGACTACAATTCCCAGAAGGCATTGCTCGCCCCAGGGGCATTTTTCCAAGTCTCTGGCTGGAGGGTGGGAACTTCCTCCAATGTCACTTCCCGATGGCGCTCTTTGCTTTTCCGTTCTTCCTGCTGCTCGCTTCTTCTTCTTCTCTGTCTTGAGCCGACCTGGGACGGGGTGAGCGGCAGCCGAAAGCGGAGCCAGGCCTGGCCAGAAGCCGGATGCGGGGCGCGGGGACCCCGCAGCAGCACGGGCTGGCTGGGGAGCACCATAGATTGAGCTTCCGCCAGAGGAGAAGGAAGCCATCCACGGGCTTACGGCGTCGCGGGGGTGGAGCCTGGGGAGGGATGTGGGCGGGAACAGGGAGGGCACTTGGAGTCGGGGTGGAGTCGGATGCAAGCCCCTCCGCAGACACGCCCTCACCACCTGACCCCCTGTGCATGTCCTGACCCTCTGGACCTCAGCCCTTCCCTTAATGAGACTCTTTGGTCATGAACTCCTGGTGTCAGTCTGGTCCTTGTTGCCGACTTCCCTGTGGCATCATCCCTTCCCAGCATCCTTGGTACCACTTCCTCCAGGAAGCCTTCTCTGATGCTGAGGATGATCATTGCTCTCCCCCTCCAGAAGGTGTCGTGTCTGTGTCTGTGCCTGGACTTCACCATAGCCTCATCTCTTCTTCCCAGCGTCCTCCTCTTCCTCCAGACCTTTTCCTGGGTACCACCCCCTCCAGGAAGCCTTCTCTGATGCTGGGGATGATCAGTGCTCTCCCTTTCCAGAAAGTATTCCCTCTTCTCCCCACCTCCAGAAAGTATCTCCTGTTTATCTGTTCTTCTGTTTTATCTCTGAAGGATATTGTCCTAAAGACAATGCCCCCTCCAGAAGAGATGTGACTGTTTCCTTCTGGCCCCTTCCCCCCCCCCAGCCCTATGTCCTCCTCCCTGCTCTCCACCTCAGTGGAGAAGGGGGAATTTTTAGCCTCTGATTAGGGGACACATACTGCGTGGCCCGAGCTTCTCACGCTTCTCCTTTTGTCCCCAGAACCTCTGCCCCTTGTGGCCTCTGCTCAGCTCCAGTAGCTGGGAGCACTGAGGAAGAGAAAATGGCTTCTGTTCTCCTGACAACCAGGCCCTACGTGGTGAGTGCCAATTGCTTGTTTTCTGAAATACTATCTCAGGCCAAAGACCAAGGGATACATTTCTTTCTCATATGCTATATCTCCATAAATTCTGGCTATCAGAGAATCCTGTATTTAGAGCTAAAAGATATCATAGAGATCATCTATTTAATGCCCCTACCCCAAAATTAACATTCATTTTAAAATTTTGTATTCCATATTCTTTCCCTCCTTCCAGCAGCTTCCCTACCCTTTGGCAAGGCAAGCAACAAGATACCCATTATTCATGTGAAGACATGTAAAACATTTCCATGTTAGCCACATTGCAAAAAAAAATTTTTTTAAAGCATTAAAATAAAAGAAAGTGAAAAAAAAATTCTGTTATCTGCCTTCAGAGTTCATCAGTTCTCTCCTCATTTTTCATCGTGAGTCCATTGGAATTTTCATGCATCATTGTATCAATCAAAGTAACCCAAGTCTTTCATAGTTGATCACTGTTACCATATTGCCCTTACTGGGCACAATGTTCTCCTGATTCTGCTCACTTCACATTGCCTCAGTTCATAGAAGTTTCCCAGGTTTTTTCTGAACCTTTCCCCCTTGTCATTTCTTATTACACAACCTCACAATCACATCCCACACCTTTTCCTTCATTCCCCAATTGATGGGCATCTATGGTGGGTAAAAGATGAAATGACTAAGGAAACAGTGGTTTCATCTTCTGAGCATACTGATTCGTTAAGCAATGCATACCAATTGTTTAACAAACTGGGACCAAACCTCACTTTAGGCTTTTACCCAAAATACAGAGGAGATAGACTTTTAAAAACAATTAATCAAATAAAGTCAATTAATTAAAAGGAAACGTTGCACCACCAGGTAATCTGACTTCTAATTAGATGAAAGATTAGGATCTTTCCAAGTTCAGAAGGGGAGAGTGAATAGGTGCAAATCCCTGAAATCAGAAAAAAAGATATCCCACTTCCCCCAAGTGTTTGTAAACAATTAAAGGAATTAAAGTAATCTGTATGTATGCATACAGATGAATAACTGATTCATCAGTACAGGGCCAGTTTTCAGATAAGACATATGAATTGTTTGAGATTTACAATTGTGAGAAACTCTTCACATCAGTCTTTGGCTCTGACCTGGTTTCTGATCAGCATAATGTAGGTCTTTGGTTAAGGGGCTCTGCACAGCACTGAGAGGTCCTTCAGTTTACCAGCCAGGGTCAAACAATGCAATAAGGTTTTCCAATTGCCACAACTGAATAAAGTTTTCTCAGAAGTCAGCAATTGGACTAGATAGACCTAAAATGGAATAGAAACTAAGCTAGCTCCAGAATTGAGTCATAAGATGGTGTCAGTGTGGTTCACTTAATTCCCACAATTAACCATTTGCTGTCCTAATCCCCTGAATTTCCTCAAGTTTTATTCACTATTTCAGAAGGGGGTAAGGTCCTGGAATTACCCAGTCCTGGGAGTTCTCCCTTGCAGTCTTAAAATAATTCCCTCACATTTGCTCAGTTTCTCATTCTTTGCCCCCATAAATAAAGCTGCTCTAAATATTTTTGTGTGTTTAGGTCCTTTCCCTTTTTCTTTTGTCTCTGTGGCACATAGACCTAATAGAGAGATTGCTAGGTCAAAGGTTATGCATGGGTTTACAGTCTTTTGGTCATGTTCCAGATTGTATTCCAAGAATGGTTAGAACAGCTCATAACTCCACTGATAGAGCACTAGGGTCACTCTTTTTTCACATCCCTGCCAGCATTTATCATTTTCCTTTTCTGTCAGGTTAGACAGTCTGTTAGGTATGAAGTGGTAGCTGTGAGATGTTTTCATTTGCATTTCTCTTATTATTGTTGATTTAGAGCATTTTAACATGACTATTGATGGGTTTAACTTCTGAAAACTGACTGTTCATATCCTTTGCTTATTTTTCAATTGGTAAATGGATCTTAAATTTATATATTTAGCTCAGTTTCCTATATATTTGAGAAATGAGGCCTTTATCAGAGAAACTTTGCTGTAGAAACTTTTTCCATTTTCCTGATTGCCTTATTTTGGTTGTGTTGGTTTTGTTTTGGCAAAAACTTTAAAATTGCATGCAATTAAAATTATGCGTGTTATTTCCTTCGATCCTCTCTATTTCTTGCTTAGTCATAAACTCTTCTCTTTTCCATAGATCTAACAGGGACATTTTCCAACACTCGCCTACTTTGCTTAAGATACCACCCTTTATGTGTAAATCATGTATTCATTTTGACCTTATCTTGGTATATGACTTGAGATGTTGGTCCATGCCTGGTTTTTGCTGGACTGCTTCGCAGTTTTGCCAGCAACTTTTATGAAATGGGAAATTCTTTTTTTTCCCCCTAAAAACTAACTAATTAATTAATTAATTTTTTGTTTTCAGCATTTACTTCTATAAGATTTGGAGTTTTAAATTTTCTCTCTCTCCTTCTTCCCTTCTCCAAGAAAGTGTACAAGTCTGATATAGGATCTGCTTATATATTCATATTAAGTATATTTTCACATTAGTCATGATGTAAAGAAGAATCAGAACTAATGGGAGGAACCATGAGAAAGAAGAAACAAAACAAAACAACAAAAGAAAAGGAGAGCAAATAGTATGTTTCCATCTGCATTCAGACTCCATGGCTCTTTCTCTGGATGTGGATAGCATTTTCCATCATGAGACTTTTGGAGATGTCTTAGATCTTTGCATTGCTGAGAAGAGCTAAGTCTATCAAAGTCAGTCATCACACAACATGGCTGTTATTGTGTACAACCTTCTCCTGGTTCTGCTCATTTCACTCAGCAGCAGGCCGTACAAGATTTTCCAGGTTTTTCTGAAGTCTGCCTTCTCATCAGTTGTTACAGCACAATAGTATTCCATTACATTCATATACTACAACTTGTTCAGGCATTCCCCAATTGATGGACATCCTCTCAGTTTCCAATTCTTTGCCACCACAAAAAGAGCTTCTATGAATATTTTTGTACATGTAGGTCCTTTTCCCATTTGTATGATCTCTTTGGGATACAGCCCTAGATGTGGTGTTGCTGGAACAAAGGGTATGCACAGTTTTATAGCCCTTTGGGCATAGTTCCAAATTGCTTTCCAGAATGGTTGGATCAGTTCACAACTCCATCAGCGATGCATTAGTGTTCGGTTTTCCCACATCTTCTCCAATATTTATCATTTTCCTGTTTTGTCATGTTAGCCATTCTGATAGGTGTGATGTCTATCTCAGAGTCATTTTGATTTGCATTTCTCTGATCAATAGTGATTTAGAGCATTTTTTCACGTGACTGTAGATAACTTTAATTTCTTCCTCTGAAAACTGCCTGTTCATATTTGACCATTTGTCAATTGGAGAATGACTTGTATTCTTACAAAATTGACTCAGTTCTCTATATATTTGAGAAATGAGGCCTTTCTTAGAGACGTTGTCTGTAAAAATTGTTTCCCAGCTTTCTGCTTCCCTTCTAATCTTGGTTGCATTGGCTTTGTTCATGCAAAAACTTTTCAGTTTAATGTAATAAAAGTCATCCATTTTGCATTCCATAATGTTCTCTATCTCTTGTTTGGTCATAAATTCTTCCCTTCTCCATAGATCTCATAGCTACACTATTCATTGCTTTCCTAGCTTGTTTATGAAGTAATATCATTACTAAATATATATGCACCAAGTGGTATAGCATCCAGATTCTTAGAGGACAAGTTAAGGGAGTTACAGAAAGAAATAGTAAAACTATACTACTGGGGGACCTTAACCTCCTCCTCTCAGAACTAGATAAATCTACTCACAAAATAAACAAGAAAAAATTAAGGAGATGAATAGAATTTTAGAAAAGTTAGATATAGTTGACCTCTGAAGAAAATTGAATGGGAATAGGAAGGAATATACCTTCTTCTCCATAATACATGGCTCCTACGCAGAAACTGACCATGTACTAGGGCATAAAAACCTTACAGTCAGGGGTAGCTAGGTGGTACAGTGGATAGAGCATGGCCCTGGAGTCAGGAGGACCTGAGTTCAAATCTGGCCTCGGACACATAACACTCACTAGCTGTGTGATTCTGGGCAAATCACTTAACCCCAATGGCCTCACCAAGACAAAACAGAACCCCAGAACCTCACAATTCAATGCAGAAAGCCAGAAATATTAAATGCATCCTTTTTAGATCATGATGCAATAAAAATTACATGTAATAAAGGGCCATGGGAAGATTGACTAAAAATTAATTGGAAACTAAATAATCTAATCCTAAAGAATGAGTGGATCAAACAACAAATCATAGAAACAATCAATAACTTCATCTAAGAGAATGACAATAATGAGAAAACATACCAAAACTTACAGGATGCAGCGAAAGCAGTTCTTAGGGGAAGTTTTATGTCTCTAAATGCTTACATGAATAAAATAGAGAAAGAAGAGATCATTGAATTGGGCATGCAACTCAGAAAGCTAGAAAAAGAACAAATTAAAAATCCCCAATTAAATACCAAATTAGAAATTCTGAAAACCAAAGGAGAGATTAATAAAATTGAAATTAAGAAAGCTATTTAACTAATAAATAAAACTAAGAGTTGGTTTTATGAAAAAATCAATAAAACAGATAACCTTTGGTTAATTTGATTAAAAAAAGGAAAGAAGAAAACCTAATTACCAGCATCAAAAATGAAAAGGGTGAATTTACCACCAATGAGGAGGAAATCAAAACAATAATTAGGAGCCATTTTGTCCAACTGTATGCTAATAAATTTGACAATCTTAGTAAAATGGATGAATATTTACAAAATGTAAATTGCCCAGATTAACAGAAATAAAATGCTTAAATAACCCTATTTCAGAAAAAGAAATTGAACAAACCATCAATGAACTCCCTAGGAAAAATTATCCAGGGTCAGATGGATTTATAAGTGAATTCTATCAAACATTTAAAGAACAACTAATTCCAGTACTATATAAACTATTTGGGAAAATAGGTGAAGGAGTCTTACAAAGTGCTGTCTCCACTGTGCCACCTAGCTGCCCCTCAACTAATTTTTTGGTTTTTTTGTGTGTGGCTAGGCAATGGGGTTAAGTGATTTGCCCAGGGTCACACAGCTAGTAAATGTTTTTTTTAAAATGTGTCTGAGGCTGGATTTGAACTCAGGTCCTTCTGAATCCAGGGCCAGTGCTCTATCCACTGTACCACCTAGCTCCCCCTCAACTAGTTTTGTTGTTGATTATCTGGGGTCCCCTTAAGTATACTGTCATATTATCTGCAAAGTATGATGGTTTTTCTATTGTTTTTTGTCTTATTCCTTTAGTTTTTTACCTTGTCTTATTACCATAATAATTTTTAGTAAAATTTTAGTAACTTTCTAGTTAAATATTGAATAGAAGTGTTGATTATGGCCATCCTTACTTCATCCCTGGTCTCTTAGGGAAGGCTTCTAGTTTGTCCCCATTAGAGATAATGCTTGTTCCTGGTTTTTGAGAGATACTAATTTAAGTAAAGTTACATTTATTCCTGTGTTTTCCAGTGTTTTTAATGGCAATGGCTGTTGTATTTTGTCAACAGCTTTTTCTTCAGCTATTGATATAAGCATGATTTCTGTTGTTTATGTTACTGATATGCTCAATTATGATATGCTCCTTTTTCCTATATGAATTTATGTGTTGAGACATTTGAACACAAACATTTAATACTGATATTGGTTTGTCATTGTTCCTTTCAGTGTAATATGATTTCCTTGTTTACATTGTGAATGTTTATTTAAAATTATGCTCAAGGGGTTATAAAACTATGCATCATACCCTTTGTTCCAGCAATATCACTACTAGTTCTACATCCCCCAAAAATAAAAACAACAATGAAAAGGACCTATATGTATAGAAATATTTATAGCAGCTCTTTTTGTAGTGGCAAAGAATTGGAAATTGAAAAGATACCCATCAATTGGGGAATAACAAATTGTGATATAGGATTGTAATGGAATACTGCTGTGTTCAGAAGGACTTAGATAAACTGATGCGAAGTGAAATTAACAAAACTAGGAGAACATCATACACAGTGCCAGCAATATTATATGATGACCAGCTGTGAATAGCTTATCTGTTCTCAGCAATACGGTAATCCAACCCAGTTCCAAAGGACTTAGTCTCTTTACTTTTGAGAAAGAACTGTTGAACAGCTAATATTTAAAGTTGTTTTTACATGTAATGATGGAAAAAAATTCAAGAGTGAAAAAAGAGATAAATTTGAAAGTTTTAAGAACTCTGTGTGTGTGTGTGTGTGTGTGTGTGTGTGTGTATGTGTGTGGTTGTGTGTATGTGTGTGTATTCATTACTTTCTTCATCTTTTTTTCCCCAATGGGGTGGGGGCAATAGGAGTGCTAGAAAATAGATTTTTGTCAAGGGTAGCCCTGCTTCCTGGGACTCAAGGAAGATGGTTGAGAAGAATCCTTTTTGGTGTTAGTGGTCCTCCCTACTAGTATCCCAATAGTTCATACCTTCTTATCTAATGTATACTAGAAGTTTAAGACTGAAGCCCTTGATTCAAATCTGGTTTTTGGGGAACTGCTACATTAACGTGAATTGAATTAAAGAGTAAGAGGCAGCAAAGTATAAAGATAAGAGCACCAGACTATGTGTCAGAAGGCTTGTAATTGAGACTCAGCAGTAATTGTTAATAGCTGATTGACTTGAAGCCTAACTAATCATGATAACAAAAATGGCTTTAAGTACCATTAACTGAAGAGGAATAAAAAAGAAATAGCACAGGGTAAGAAATCAGTAGAAGACAACAAAGCCCCAAAGATCTGATTCTGATGATAAATGTTACAAAAAAAAAAGATGAAAAAAACTAGTTTGGAGGCAAGCAAGAGAACAAAGAATAGTGAGGACCATGTTTAGGGGTGGATGGGATGACCATAAGGAGGGATGCCTGAGAGAAAGCTACACAAGTAAACTCTTGCTTGGCTTTAGTTTTCTCTTTGGGAAATGAAGGTCTTTGAAGTGGGATTGAGAGCCCTCACGTTGTCAGCAAGAAGTGGATACCCAAGGTAAAGGGAGATAGACAGGATCCGGTTGTTCTGAAAGAAGTGTGTAATGTGATTGCTTAGCCGTTCTCAGGTATCCCTGAAGGACCTTGGGGAATAGGGTTGGTGCCACAGAACTGGAGAGGGGACTTGTGCCAAGTTTGAAAAAAGAGGCTGTGGATTCAGCAAAGCCTAGGCCAGTGACTTCCAACTCTGGCACATTCCTAGAATACCTTTTTAATGAGTTGGTTAGTGAGCTATTAGAAAAGGCTTTTTTTTCCTGTAGTGCTTTTTGGTATTTACCTCAGTCATTTCTGGAAAAACTTTTCTTTCCCTCACTTTCCTTTATAACAAAGAAACACAGTTTCAGAAAATATCCATTATAGTGACTCTTCTGTTTAATTCAGAAAACATTCCCTTCTCTAGTGGTCTCTATCTTGTCTGCTGTTAGAAACAGTAACGTTTTTTTCAAATTACTTAGAGTTCAGCATCTTTTTGTTCTTAGAAGATATATTTTTTGTAGTCTTTGTATAATGTTTTGTTGGCTCTGCTTAATTTTCATTGCATCAGTTAATTCACAGTTTCATTGCTAGTCCCCCATGCTCACCTTTGCTTTTATGGTTCCAGGAGCATTGAGCATGATCATGTTCACCTACTGTAAAAAATAGACAAAAAAAGCTCATACACATTTAAAATTGATGTCACTGGATCCATGAACAGTAACAAAAAGCAACCGCTGTGCTGAGTTGGGAGGACACAAAGAAAGCCCTCAAGGAGCTTACAGTCTAATGAGAGGAATTTTACAGAAGTGCCTGTTATGCACTAGTCACTGTACTGGATTACAGATAAGCAACTGAAATGATTCCTATTGACAAGAAAGTTATATTGAAATTCCATAACAATTGGAGTCATCTCTTGGGAAGCACAAATATTTTGGTCTTTCAGGTATCAGTGACATTCCAGGATGTGGCCGTGGAATTCTCCTCAGAGGAGTGGACACATTTGAACCCATCTCAGAAAAAGTTATACAGGGATGTGATGCTGGAAAACTATAGGAACTTGGCGTCTTTGGGTGAGAACGGCTTCCCCTTTGCAGTCCTGTTCTATGTAATGTTGACTTTCAAGATTTTAACAGTTATTTTTTGGCATGCAAAAGGAAGATATCCTCTAATCCTTGTGTAGCTCACAGACGTGGTACTTGTGCTCCCTGTTTCCAGGATAAAAGTCTTTGCTTACTATTCCTGGAAATTGATTTCTTGATTTGTTGTTATTCTCGAGAATGTATCTTCCCCTCCAAGACTGTTTAATCCCAGTGTAAGTTTCATTATATACGAAGTGTTCCCATTGTCTAAGCAGAGTGTAATCAGCTATTTTTCCTTCTTCCTACTCTGTAACCTATTCCCACATAATAGAATATTCTTCATCAGTCCCTTGTAATATCCTTGGGGTCTTCCTAGCATGCCTACTTTTTCCCCAAGGAGAGTTTGCACTAGTTTTGAATACTTTTATTAAGTTTTATGGATGCATATTGTAAAAAAAATGTAGGTTTTCCTTCCCTCCATGCTACATTAAAAAAAAAAACCCTATCTCTCCTTCCAACTAGGCCACTGAGCCTAATAATCACAGACAGAATTGAGCCTAATAATCACAGATAGAATCAGCTAGCAAAGATAGTGCCTTGGATCATAGAAGTTAAATTTTGTCCCATTATTTCCCCACTTTTGTACAAAGAGTTTATAGGAATATTTCATCTCTTTGTTCTATGATTGGATTCTGAGATGACTGTGTCTAGCACTTTTTCATTTTCAACAAACAGGATTTGCAGTTTCCAGACCAGATGTGATCTGTCAATTGGAAAGAAAGGAAGTACCATGGATGCCAGAGGCAGATGTTCTAAAAAGCAGCTGTACAGGTGACTACATAAAAACCAAGGTCATTGGAAAATACTGCTCTGTTGGTCAAAACTCTTTTAACATGTCGAACAAGGTGGTGTATGAAAGCTTCTCAGGCCTGTTGAGAAGAGCTGAGATTTTAAAATGTCACTTTTTAACTGAAGAAGTTACTTTTTGTGCATCTCTTTACTCATGTACCTCTATTTTCAAGGAAAGTGGTTACCTCATTGTGGGCTAGCTGTTTCTGTCCTGTGCATTGAAGATTATCCTATTTTAAGCAGGCATTCTCCTGCCTCAGTTGCTTGAATTCATTCTCCCTCTTAAAATAAGCCCATCATTTAAACTATTAACAGCATGCCCTTTTGGCTTTTTTGTTCTCTTCTTATGCTTTCCTCTCTGTTGCTTGATGCTTATGTTTCTCTGCTGCTGTTACTTTATAAAATATTTAATCCTAACCTAATTACCCTTCTGTCAGCCTATCATGTTATATGTCATCCTGTTTTTCTTTATGCTTTGAAATTATATTTACAAAGGAACAATAATACGTTCTCATGATTGGATTTTTTTAGCCATAAAGCCATCATTGGACCTGTAGTTTTTGAGAGTTTTGCTATTTCACAAAAAACTGTGGTGAATGTTTTTGAGAAATGTCATTGTTTGCTTTCAGTAACATTTTGAGCATGTCGACTTGGTAGCAAGATCATTGGGTCAGTGGTTAGGAAGTTTTGTAGCTAACGCTGAAGTTGCTTTCTTGCTTTTCAGAAAAATGGCATCAGCAGCTTAATAAGTACCTATTTCATCATAACTTTCAAAATGTATCATTTTGAAGTATCTTTTCTAATCTGATGGATATTTTATTACATCTCCAAATTGTTGTGTTTTGCTTCTTTGATTACTAGAATTTCAGCATTGTTCCATGTAGTTATTAATGTTTTATCTTGTGAAAAATACCTCTATGTTTTGATCATTTACCTTTTCGGAATTGGGTTTTACTCTTACAAGTTTAATCAATTGCTTATAAAGTAGACATGTTGGATTTTTATCGAATGTTTATAACAGTTGTCCAATATGACCCCCTTTTTTTCATATTTTTCCTTTCTTCCATTTACTCCAAGTCTCAATCTCTCGTCATGCTAAGCTTATCAATTCTCCTTTTTTCTTTCTGTTCAGTGTTTTCCTTTAATTTCTATTTTAAATATTAAAGACACTTTTTTTGTTCAGTCATTTTTTTGATCATTTCCGACTGTTTATGGCCTTATTTGGGGTTTTCTTGGCAGAGGTAATGGAGGGGTTTGCCTTTTCCTTCTCTAAGCTACTTTAAGGGTGAGGAAATTGAGGCAAACATGGTAAAATGATCTGCCCAGAGTCACAGAGCTTGTGTCTGAGTCCTGTTACGATCTCTGAAAGATTAATATTCTTGATTCTAGGTTTAGCAGTCTATCCACTGTGCCACCTAGCTGCCCTAGAGCTACTTTTGCAACCTCTCAAAGTCATCTAGTTTTTTGGATAGTCATTTCCTTATTCCTTTTAAATGTAATAGAGCGAATTTATCTTATTTATCTTTCCAGGTAATTTCGTTCTAAGTCAATTCCTTTATATGTTAATTTTGAGTCATTATATTTTCACATAACATAAACTGGGATCCTTAGTGAATAGTGAGACTAGTCGTCTCAACTGGGAAGAGAAGAGAATAGTTCTAAAACCTTTTGTGCAAGTAAGTGCCTTGGGAAATGGAAGGAAAGGCGGGGTTATTCAGCTCTGTATTCTTCCTTTCCAGGGAGCAAAGAATTTACTGGAGAGAAAGCTTATGAATGTAGTGAATGTGGGAAGGCCTTCAGGAGTAAGAAACAACTTACTGTGCATCAGAGAATTCATACTGGAGTGAAATGTTATGAATGTAAGGAGTGTGGGAAGGCTTTCATCTACAATTCAGAAATTATTCTCCATCAGAGAATTCATTCTGGAGAGAAGCCTTATGAATGTAGTGTATGTAGGAAAGCCTTCAGGAGTAAGAAACAACTTACTGTGCATCAGAGAATTCATACTGGAGAGAAACTTTATGAATGTAGTGAATGCAGGATGACCTTCAGGAGGAAGACACATATTACTTATCATCAGAGAATTCATACTGGAGAGAAACCTTATGAATGTAATGAATGTGGGAAGGCCTTCAGGAGTAAGACACAGCTTACTGTACATCAGAGAACACATACTGGAGAGAAACCTTATGAATGTAGTGTATGTGGAAATTTCTTCAGTAGGAAGGCAAATCTTAATATGCATCAGCGAATTCATACTGGAGAGAAACCTTATGAATGTAGTACATGTGGAAAGGCATTCAGGAGGAAGCCACCTCTTACTGTGCATCAGAGGATTCATACTGGAGAGAAACCTTATCAATGTAGTCAATGTGGAAAGACCTTCAGGAGTAAGTCACATCTTACTGTGCATCAGAGCATTCATACTGGAGAGAAACCTTATGAATGTAAGGAGTGTGGGAAGGCTTTCATCTACAACTCAGAACTCATTCTACATCAGAGAATTCATACTGGACAGAAACCTTATGAATGTGGTGTATGTGGGAAGGCCTTCAATAGGAAGTCACATCTTACTGAGCATCAGAGAATTCATATTGGTGAGAAACTTTATGAATGTATTAAATGTGATAAAGTCTTCAGGCACAAGACACAACTTACAGTGCATCAGAGTATTCATACTGGAAAGATTCTTTATGAATGTAAGGATTGTGGGAAGGCTTTCATCTATCACTCAGCTCTTATTAAACATCAGAGCATTCATACTGGAGAGAAACCTTATAAATGTAATTTATGTGGGAAAGCCTTTAAGATTGAGCCACAACTTACAGTGCATCAGAGAATTCACACTGGAGAGAAACCTTATGAATGTAGTGAATGTGGAAAGACCTACAGGAGTAAGAAACAGCTTACTGTGCATCTCAGAGTTCATCCTGGAAAGATTCTTTATGAATGTAAAGAGTGTGGGAAGGCTTTTCACTACAATTCAGCACTTATAAAACATCAAAGAAATCACATGGGAGAGAAATCTTATGAATGTAGTGAATGTAGGAAGGCCTTCAATAGGAAGTCATATCTTACTGTGCATCAGAGAATTCATACTGGAGAGAAACCTTATGAATGTAGTGAATGTGGGAAAGCCTTCCGGAGGAAGGCAAATCTCAATATGCATCAGAGAATTCATAATGGAGAGAAATCTTATGAATGTAATACATGTGGGAAGGCTTTCCCTCTAAAGTCAGATCTTACAAAACATCAAAGAAATCATAGAACAGAAAAACCTTATGAATGTAGTGTATGTGGGAAGACCTTCAATAAGAAGTCACACCTTACTGTGCATCAGAGAATACATACTGGAGAGAAACCTTATGAATGTAAGGAGTGTGGAAAAGCTTTCTTCTACAACTCAGGACTTATTACACATCAAAGAGTTCATACTGGAGAGAAACCTTATGAATGTAGTGTATGTGGGAAGGCCTTCAGTAAGAAGTCAAATCTTACTCTGCATCAGAGAATTCATACTGGAGAGAAACCTTTTGAATGTAGTGAATGTGGAAAGGCCTTCAAGAGTAAGGCACAACTTAATGTGCATCAGAGAATTCATACTGGAGAGAAACCGTATGAATGTAGTATATGTGGGAAGGCCTTCAGTAGGAAATCACATCTTACTGTGCATCAGAGAACTCATACTGGAAAGAGACCTTATGAATATAGTGAATTTGGGAAGTACTGTAGACAGAGGACACAACTTTATGTCCATCAGAGAATTCATACTTGAGAGATTACTCATAAATGTAAAGAGTGGGAGGACCATCACAATTTAGATTTTGTTGAATATCATAGAATTCGTACAAGTGATGTTCCTTATGAATATGGAAAGCCATGAAGAATCTATTCTGCAGCGAAACCTTTATGAGTTAGGTAATGTATGTGGGAAAATACATTTTTACTGAGGACACTTCTCTGATGTCTATCACAGAATTCATACTCTGTATAACCTTTATGAATGTAAGGTATATGGGAGGATCCCATAGGTGTCTAGGCTATGATTCTGAGTTGTTATATCAATTTTGGGTCCTTATTTAGCTCCCATGAAAGGAAATATCCCCCTTCCTCTGCAGAGCCCTTTGATAGGAGAAAGAGTAATGTTATCCTCCCATGGGCCTTCTGGTGTGGAAAGAATATGGTGGTTGAGCCTGAGGACACTGAGTGGATGGTGGTGTTAGGAGAGACTTGGTATTAACTTTAGTCCCTGGGTAAATGGCATGTATGAGGCATATGGATGATCTCTTGACCCTCAGATGAGCCTGATGTATGATCAGTTCTTATTGACTGCTTGAGGAATATATCATAATCTAAGCTGTGTTCCTGATGTTTGTGGTGCTTCTGCTCTTATTTATCAGGGTAAGCCCTGATCCATAAAGATTTGGAATCACATAAATTTTTTAAAAATCCTAGTAAGGGTCTTTGGCAGAGATTGATGCTATATGATTTCTGCCCAGTGTTCTGAATATCAAAGTGAAGGAATTCAGTGGAATGCTTGTAAACAGCAGGAGCAACTATTACTCTTTTAAGGTTGCCACAGGTGTTATCATTTAATTAGTGACAAATGAAAAGAATGTGATTCTGATTGTGGTTAAAGATATGAATAGGGCATTTTCAGAAGAAGAAATCAAAGCTATGAATTGTCATAGGATAAATGTTCTTAATCACTTTCGACTAGAGAAATGCAAATGGAAACAACTCTGACATATCACCTCACACCTATCAAATTGAGTTACATGATATTTAAGAAAATGATCGATTCTGGGGGGGATGTGGTAAAATAAGGACACTAATACACAGTTTACAACTGTTCCAACCATTCTTGTGAACAATTTTGAAGTATTCCCAAAGGCCTACAAAACTGTGAATTCTGTTTTACCCAGCCATAGCAGTACTTGTTCTGTATGCCAAAGAGATTCAACTAAAAAGGAAAAGGACTTATATGTACAAAAATATTTATAGCAGCTCTTTTTGTGGCAGCAAAATATTGGAAACTGAAGGGATGCCCATTGTTTGGGGAATGGCTGAATAAGTTCTTTAGAATTGTAATGGAATTCTGTTTTGCTGTCAGAGGTGATTGATGGTAGCTGGATGGCTTAGTAGAGATAGCACTGTGCCTGGAGTCATTAAAAACTGAGTTCAAATAGGGCCTCAATCGCTTATTAGCTCCATCACTCTGGACAAGTCATTCAAGCTCTATTTGCTTTAATATACTGGAGAAGGAAATGGCTAAATCACTCCATTATTTTTTCCATGATAACCCCCATAATGTGACCTCGCTGAATCACTAAACAGCTTTAACAACATGAAGAGAATCATTTCAGAAAAAGCATATGAAGACCTGTATGAATTGGTATAGAGTGAGGTCAGCAGAATGAAGTGGTCATTTTGCTCAGTAACAGCAACATTGTAATGACCAGCTGTCAAAGACTTAGTACTTTGATCAAGATAATTCCAAAGGACTCATGATGAAACATACTATCCACCTCCAGAAAGCTAACTGATGAACTCAATGTAAATTGTAGTATAATTTTTTCCACTTTTTTTTTTACTGATTCGTATTGAATATTTTTGTATGATTCCATATATATAATTTACATATTTCTTGCCGTATCAATGGGTGGGGGAGGGCTAGAAAGAATTTTTGAATTCAAAATGTTAAAAGGAATGTTCAAAATAAATAATTTTTTAAAAAGTTAAATGATTAAACAAAAAGATTTGGAATCAGCTACAACATGGACCAGATTATTGAACTCCTAGACTTGGGTCTTTCTGCAACAGAGAGGAAAAGCCTAAGATTTCTACCAGTCTCCTTCATTCTGAATAATCTGTTTGCCAGTTCTAGCCGGATGGGTACAAAGTCCAGTGGAGGTCACTTTGGAAAGCTAAGCTTTGACTCTAGGGCATGGAAGTTTTGATGAGTTACTAACACACACAGCCAGAAGTTGCCTCTGCAGCTAGACTAATCCTGGAAGAAGGTCACGTGGTCTATTCTCTGTCAAAGTGTTAACAAAGATCTACAAATCACTACGTATACTCCCATCCTCTCAATCACAAGTGTCCCGACACTCTCAGTTTCTGGAACTGCTGCTCTCTTCCAGCCCCTCTTCAGTGGTTTTGAGGCATCTTCACACCTTCTGCAGAACATGCTATGTGTAATCAGATTGTAAAGATAAGCTTGAGTCACAATCCGGTGGGCTTTAACATAGGAGTTAATATTTTATCCTAGAATCAGTAAGAAAGCAACAGAATGATATGATCTGAGATATTTAGAAATATCAATTTGTTCATTGTATAGAGAATGTGTTGGAAAGGAGCAAGACTGCCTGTGTGTCTATTTTGGTCTGGACCTGTGTAGAAGTTACCTATGTTCATAGAGATGGACAATTCCTTTATAAATTCTTGTCCTACTCAAGCCATGATTTGAGAGGACTGAAGGTAAGTATGATGCTCACCTCTTTCTGCAGAGGTGATGCAGAGGGGAAATACAAAATGTGAATTATATTTTGGGTGTGACCAATGTGGAAATTTATTTTGTTGGACTATGCATATATGATAAAGTTTTACTTTTTTTTACATCTCTTATCTTTCTTGTTCAACAATGGTGAAGGAAAATAATAAAATAAATTACATTTTAGATTAGGAAAATTTTAAATTGATAACTTCTGTTATTTGTCCAAACTTCCTGAGGTGGAATGTGTTGACCACCATTACATAAAGAGTAAAAATCAAGAAAATAATTACAGTAGGAAGAATGAATTCAAAGGAATGGCAATGATGGACCAGATAAAAGAGAAGGCTTGGGCATTTACACTCTGCTGCCACAGACCAGGCTCTCCACCCTTATGAGGGACTTGTGGAGAGACGACTAAAATCGTTGGGACGGCAGAATGTACTTGAGCATTAGCAGCAAACATCCCTGGAACGATCAGGGGGAGAAAAGAGAAAGATTAAGGTGGCCCTCCCAAGTAGCCATCATTAGATATGCCGTCTATGCAGACTTTTACTGCTGAATGTAAGCAGACATTTATCAGTGTATGAGTTTGTTTTAAATTATTGTCCCCCACCAAGTGAGAGCTGGGAGGGAATGGGGACTGTGTAGTCCCTTATTAGTAAGACTATTAGCAAGTATAGTTGTCCCAGATAGAAGGAGGGGCCAAAGGATGGTGGGAGCTGGAAGCTGCAGTGGGTAGAGGGAGTAGGAGCTTGGGAGCTGTTTGGAGAACTGATAGCAAATAAGGGGCTCTGCTACTCAAAACTGAATGTAATCCAGAGCACTTGCAGCCTTGTTAACCCACTTAGGGCATGATCTGTCAAGACTGGATGTTGATGTTCTGCTGCTTTTGGGAGCTGAGTGAACTCATTTTAACTTCACTTCCTTCTCCCCTTCATCCTGCTTGGTGAAGTGACATTACTTTTACCCTATGTGTATTTACTGTCTGCACTTTTACAATGCGTTTTGGATGGAGAAAAAACAATAAGCTAATTCTGTCAAATTCTAAGCAAGTGTTTGCTGTCAATGATTGGACCTCTCTGGAGAAGGAGAAAGGGGAAAATTTGGACATCTAACCCGGAACTTGGCCAGGAGCTTCATATTTAAGGGTTCTCCTGAGCCCCACCCAAAGCAACAAAGGGAAGACATATGTGTTTTATTAGTTTTGAGATGGGAGGGTTTTCATTTTGTTTTGTTTTCTTTTTCAAGACTGAAACTTCATATGTCCAAAGTGGTTTCTGGATATTGCTGTACCCCCCAAACAACAGCTATAAATGGTCTTTGCTTTACAATTCAATTGTAGTTCCAGTTAGGAGCAGATTTTGCTGGAAGCTGAGGTATTTCCCTCCTGCATTTCTGTATCTTTAGGTACCAGAGAAGGACTTGGAGTAGTCATGTCAGAGACTTGTGAGGTCTGGTGCTCCAGTGGGTCCTAAGAAAGGGTCAGTGATTTTTTTTGCTTTTAGGCAATTGGGGTTAAGTGACTTGCCCAAGGTCACACAGCTAGTAAGTGTCAAGTGTTTTGTCTGAGGCCCGATTTGAACTCAGTTCCTCCTGACTTCAGGGCCGATGCTCCATCCACTGCACCACCTAGCTGCCCCCAAAAGATGTCCTTGAAGCATTTACTCTTCCTCCCTGAGCTATGTCTGCAACTCCAGGAGAAATCAAGAGGTGGAACCTGGGCAGTCTTGCCCATGAAGACACGCCTGGGTTGGTGAACAAGCTGTCTGTGCGTCCATCAGACAACTGTTTTTCTTCCTCAAAGAAACTGTTGTCCTTGGTGTCCTTATGATTTCATTTTGGGACCCTCCTGTCTCCCGTGGGCTGAGTTCCTGTGAAGGATCTTATTCCAGAGAATCAGCTGGCCTCCTAACCTGCGCAGGGCACGTGCAGGACCAGGGCTGGTCCTCAGTGCTCTTCCATTGCTCTCTTTTGTAGCCCATTTTCACTGTCCACCTTCCCCTCAGCTGGCCAGTCTGGTGGCTCCTCCCGGGGCAAAGCCGTCCCCTCCCTGCCGCCCTCTCCAAGGCCGCCAGCTCCGTTGGGCGGCTCAGATCTCCCGGGACAGGCGGTGCTGCCGCAATCTGCTCCCGGGCCACCCCGCAGTCCGTCCTCCCCGGGCTGCCACGGTGGCTCTCGCGCGGCTCTGACTCCTGATGAGGATGCCGGGCCCCCGCTGCCTCTGCACAAAAGCCTCCACATGGGCCTCTCCCTCCTTCTGCTTTTTGGCACTCCACCTCTGCAGACACTTGCGTGGGGTCTGGCCGGTCTGGGCAGCCTTCAGCAAACGCAGCACCCCCCACCACTGTGTGTGACACACTGCCCAGGTCAGGGGGACGCCACGAGGGGGCGCGATGGCGCGGTGCATTGGCGGCCAGGGTGGAGCCGAGCCCCAGGCATGCGCAGAAAGCGCGGCAGCCTCGAGACTACGATTCCCAGAAGGGCTTGCTCACCCGCGTGCGTCTTGCAAGTTCAGAGGAGGGAGGTTGGGCGGTTCCTTTGACGTCATTTCCGCCGTGACCCCTCGCCCCACTTTCACGCTTGTGGGGGTGTCTGTTTCTCTCCTCTACCCTGCGTTGACCGGGAACGGGGTGAGCGGCCACGGAAAGCGGGGCCCGGCCCAGACGGAGGTGAGCTGCGGGGCCGGAGCCCCAGGATATGGGGGGGAGGCTCCCACCAGAGGACGAAGCCCCTAGGGGCGTGGGGGCGAGGCCGTGGGCGGGGGTCGTCCCGTGGCTGCCCACTCTCCGGTGCTTGGCAACGATGCTAGAGTGGTGGTTTGCCCTTTCCTTCAGCCCATTTGGCAGATGAGGAGACTGAGGCCCACAGGGTTCAGTGACTTGGCCAGGGTCACCCGGCTAGCGGGAGCTGCGATTGTGGCTGCAGCGATGGGCCCCGCACTCTGTCCCAGGGCTGGGGGCTGGAGTCAGAGCTGCCTCCGACAGGCCCTGCCCCTCCAGGCCTCGGCCCTTCCCTGTGCAGAGCCCTGGGGCATGAAGTCCTGGTGCTTCTGTGTCCCTGGAGGGAGGCTGCGATGCCCCTGGTGACCGTGCCCTGCCCTGCTGAAAGGGTCAGGAGGTGCTGGCCCCAAGACAGCCCCCCCAGGAGAGAAATGACTGCTTCCTTCTGGGCCCCTCCCACCCCCCCCCCAGCCTCTGCCCCCTCCCTGATCTCCCGCAGTGGAGAAATGGGAATGTCTGGTGTGAGCAGGGCAGACCCCCAGCGTGACTCCTCACTGTCCTGCTTCTCCTTTGCTCCCCAGCTCTCCCTTCTGTGGCCGCTGCTCTGCCCCAGGAGGACAGCCTGGAGGAAGAGGGAATGGCTTCTGCCCTGACAGCCAGGCCCAGGAAGGTGAGTGCCACTTGCTGCTTTCCTGAAATAGCATCTCAGGCCAGAGACCATAGGATAGGTTTCTTTGTCCTGTCCACTAGGAATCATGGGCATCAGAGAATCATATATTTAGAGCTAAAAGATACCATAGATTATAATCTATTTATCCAACACCACCTACCCTGAAATTTACATTCATTTTCAAATTTGGAATACCGATTCTTTCCTCCAACCCCTTCGCCACCCATTGACAAGGTGAGCAATTAGATACCCATTATGTGTGTGAAGACACAGAAAACATTGCTATATTAGCTACACTGAAAACAAAAAAATTACAGTTATTGAAATAAAGTGAAAAAAAATCCTTTATGTTCAGAGTTGATATCTCTTCATTTTTCTTTTCTTGTTTTGCTTTTTTGGTGAGGCAGTGGGCTTAAGTGACTTGCACAGGGTCACACTGCTAGTGTCAAATGTTATGTGTCTGAGGCCAGATTTGAACTTGGGTCCCGACTCCAGGGCCAGTGCTCTATGCACTGCGCCAGCTAGCTGTGGCCTCTCTTCATTTTTCATCTTTAATCCTTTGCAATTTTCATGCATTATTATATTGAGCATAGTAGCCAAATATTTTACAGTTGATCACTGTTAAAATATTGGCATTACTGGCCAAAATGTTCTGATTCTGCTTACTTCATTTTGCCTAACTTCATAGAAGTCATCTCAGGTTAATTCACAACCCCTTTGCTATTCAGACTTCTTCATTTTGTCATTTCAAACTGTATAATAAATCTTGGTATCCATATATCCTTTTTTTTGGTAATCCTTCTTTATTAGTGAGAATTCAAATTATTTCTAGTTCTTTGCTGCCCCAAAAGCATGCTCTTATGCATATTTTTGTGTATAAACTCACCTGTGGCCTTGTTCTCATTACAGAGAAAGGGTATGGCAGCATGGTAAACTGAAAATATTCCTGGATTTGGAATTGAGAAAACCTGGGTTCAAAGTGCAGATCTGCAATTTACTCCCTTTCGACTTTCAGCAGGTTACTTTCTCTCTCTGGGTCTCACTTCTCTAATTTGTAAAATGAGACAGTTGGACTCTCAAGTCTCTTTTATTTCTAAATATATGAATTGGAAAGCAGTGGTTCTTAATATCCTTTTCAGCTGTAAAACATTTTCCCATAGTGTTGCAGATAGGAGATGGTAGTTCCCCATGCTCATGATTGCTTTTAGGGTTCTACGAAATTGAGCACAATCGTGTTCACTAGGAAAAAAGCAAATTTTTTTTAAAAAAGCCCATACACAATTAAAATTGATGTCATTGTCTCCATTAACAACTACAATAAGCAACCCCTTTGCTGAGTTGTGAGGACATAAAGAAAAGGAAACCTGACCAGTGCCCTCAAGGAGCTTATAGTCTAATGAGAGAAGAATTCTAAAATGCCTCTTATGCAGCAGTCAGTGTACTGGATTACAGATAAGCAAGTAAAATAATTCCTATTGACCAGGAAGTTATATTGAAACTTCATGACAATTAGAGTTATAATCTGGGTCAGCACAAACATCTTTGGTCTTTCAGGTATCAGTGACATTCCAGGACGTGGCTGTGGAATTCTCCTTGGAGGAGTGGAAACTTGCACCTATCCCAGAAAAAGTTATTCAGGGATGTGATGCTGGAGAATTATAGGAACTTGGTGTCTTTGGGTAAGAATGGCTTCCCTTTTGCAGCCCTGTTCTGCATGATGTTGACTTTGAAGATTTTAACAGTCATTCTTTGGCATACAAAAGGAAGATATTCCCTAGTCCTTGTGTGGCCCAGGGACTCAGTACTTGTGCTTCCTATTTCCAGGATAAAGGTCTTTGCTTACTGTTCCTGGAAACTGATTTCTTGATTTGTTGGTATTTTCAAGAATGCATCTTCCCCTCACTTTTGCTGCAAATCCAGTATTTTCTGTTTAATTCCAGTGTAGGTTTCATTATATACAAAGTGTTCCCATTTTCTAAGCAGAGTCTAATGAAGTATTTTTCCTTAGTCCTACTCTGTAACCTATTCCCACTTAATGGAATATTTTTCATTGGTCCTTTGTAATATCCTTGGGGTCTTCCTAGCATGCTTACTTTTTTCGATATTTTTTTTATTACTAATTTCTTTTGATTTAGCAGCAATCAGTTCCATGAGCTTTAGAGTTTAAAATTTTTCTCTCCCTCCTTCCCCGCCTACCTCCCTAAGATGGTGCGCAATCTGATATAGGCTATACGTAACATTCCTATTAAACATATTTTCACATTAGTGATGTTGTAAGTACACGCTTACATTTTTCCCAAGGAGAGTTTGCACTAGTTTTGAATTCTTTTATTAAGTTTTATGGATGCTTATTAAAAAAATATATATAAGTTCTCCTTCCCTCCCCACTAAATAAAAATAAATTAGAAAACCCCTACCTCTCCTTTCAGCTAGGCCATTGAGCCTGCTGTGGTTGAAAAAATAATCACAGACAGAATCAGCTAGCAAACGCAGTGCCTTGGATGATAGAAGATAAATTTTGCCCCCTTATTCCCCCACTTTTATACAAAGAGTTTATAGGAATATATCATCTCTTTGTTCTATGATTGAATTCTGAGATGACTGTGTCTAGCACTTTTTCATTTTCAACAAACAGGGTTTGCAGTTTCCAAACCAGATGTGATCTGCCAATTGGAAAGAAAGGAAACATCTTGGATGCCAGAGGCAGATATTCTAAGAAGCAGCTGCTCAGGTGACTACATAAAAACCAGGGATATGGGTCATTGGAAAATATCCTTTTTTGGTCATTGTGGGTCAAAGCTCTTTTAACACGTTGAACAAGGTGGTCTTATTAAAGCTTCTCAGGCCTGTTGAGAAGAGTTGAGACTTTAAATGTCATTTTTTTAACTGAAGATGTTACTTTTTTATGCATCTTTTTATTCACATATACCTCCACTTTCAAGGAAATTGTTTGCCTCATTGTGGGTTAGCTATTTCTTTCCTGTTCGTTGAAGATTATCCTGTTTTAAGCAGGCATTTTCCTGCCTGAGTTGCCTGAATTTATTCTCCTTCTTAAAATAAGCCCATCATTTAAACTATTAACAGCATGCCCTTTTGGCTTTTTTTGTTCTCTTCTGATGCTTTGCTCTTTGTTGCTTCTGTTTCTTTCTACTGTTACTTTGTAAAATATTTAATCCTAACCTAATTCTTCTTCTGTGAGTCTATCATATTGTATGTCATCTGGGTTTTTTTTTATGCTTTGAAATCATGTTTATCAAGGTACAATAATATGTTCCAATGATGGGATTTGTTTAGCTATAACACCATCATTGGACCTATAGATTTTGAATATTTTGCTATTTCACAAAAAGCTATTGTGAATATTTTTGAGAAATGTCATTGTTTGCTTTCAGTAACATTTTGAGGATGTAGATCTAGTAGTAGGACCATTAGGTTAATAGTTATGAAGTTTTATCTAAAGCTTAATTTGCTTTTCAGGAAAATGGCATCAGCAGCATAATAAGTACCTATTTTACCCTAACTTCCAAAATTTGTTATTTTAAATATCTTTTCCAATCTGATAAGTATTTGCTGATACCTCCAAACTATTCCGAGTTTTACTTCTTTGATAGAGCTTCACTATTGTTTCCCATAGTTATTAATATTTTTCCTTGTGAATAATACCTGTAATATCTTGATCATTTCCCTTTTTGGAATTGGATTCTACTCTTACAAATTTAATTAATTCCTTACAAAGTAGACATGTTAGATTTTAATGGACAATTATGGCAACAATTGTCTAGTACGACCACTTTTCCTCATGTTTTTTCTTAGTACAATTTACCCTATCTCTTCTCATGCTAAGCTCATCAATTCTTCTTTTACTTTCTGTTTAGTGTTTTCCTTTCCTATTTCCACCTTAAATTTTAAGGATATACTTTTTGTTGTTCAGTTATTTTTTGGTTGTGTCCAACTCTTTATAACCTAATTTGGGGTTTTCTTGGCAGAGATAATGGAGGGGTTTGCCTTTTCCTTCTCTAAGTCACTTTAAAGGTCCAGAAACTGAGGCAAACATGGTTAAATGACCTGGCTAGGGTCAGACAGCTAGGCACTGAATGCTGATATGATCTCATAAAGATTAGTCTTCCTGACTCTAGGTCCCACACTCTCTCCACTGTGCCACCTAGCTGCCCATAAGACTACTTTTGCAACTTCTCAGCCATCTGATTATTAAGGATATGCCTTCATTTCCTTGTTTTACTCAAATGTCAACTATTTGCCTTAAAATAAATTCATCTTATTAGTTTTTCCAGAAAATTTCATTCTAAGTCAGTTAATCTATATATTAGTATTGAGTCATCATGTTTTCACATAAGATAAACTGGGATCCTTAGTGAAAGAGTAGTGAGACTAGTCCTCTCAAGTGAGAAGGTAAAAGAATAGCTCTAAAACCTTTTGAGCAAGTAGGACCCTGGGGAAATGGAAGAAAAAGCAGGGTTATTCAGCTCTGTATTCTTCTTTTCAGGAAGCAAAGAATTTACTGGAGAGAAATGTTATGAATGTCGTGAATGTGGGAAGGCCTTCAAGAGTAAGAAACAACTGACTGTGCATCAGAGAATTCATACTGGAGCGAAACATTATGAATGTAAGGAGTGTGGGAAGGCTTTCATCTACAATTCAGAAATTATTCTCCATCAGAGAATTCATTCTGGAGAGAAGCCTTATGAATGTAGTGTATGTGGGAAAGCCTTCAGGATGAAGTCAAAACTTACTTTACATCAGAGAATCATACTGGAGAGAAACTTTACGAATGTAAGGAGTGTGGGAAGGCTTTCATTTATGGCTCAGAACTTAGTCAACATCAGAGAATTCATACTGGAGACAAACCTTACGAATGTAGTGTATGTGGGAAGGCCTTCAGGATGAAGTCAAAACTTACTTGGCACCAGAGTATTCATACTGAAGAGAAACCTTATGAATGTAATGTATGTGGGAAGGCCTTCAGGAGGAAGCAACCTCTAACTGTGCATCAGAGAATTCATACTGGAGAGAAACCTTATGAATGTAGTGAATGTGGAAAGGCCTTCACAAGGAAGACACAACTAACTGTGCATCAAAGAATTTATCTTGGAAAGATTCATCATGAATGTAAAGAGTATGGGAAGGCTTTTCACTACAATTCAAAACTTATAACACAGCAAAGAATTTATGCTGTAGAAAAACCTTATAAATGTAGTATATGTGGGAAGGCCTTTGGGATAAAGTCAAAACTTACTTTGCATCAGAGAATTCATACTGGAGAGAAACCTTATGAATGTAAGCAGTGTGGGAAGGCTTTCATCCAGAACTCAGATCTTATTCTACATCAGAGAATTCATACTGGAGAGAAACCTTATGATTGTAGTGTGTGCGGGAAAGCCTTCAGAATGAAGTCCAAACTTACTTTGCATCAGAGAATTCATAGTGGAGTGAAACCTTATGAATGTAAGGAGTGTGGGAAAGCTTTCATCTCCAACTCGGATCTTATTCTACATCAGAGAATTCATACTGGAGAGAAACCTTATGAATGTAGTGAATGCAAGATGGCCTTCAGGTGTAAGGAACAACTTACTGCACATCAGAGAAATCATACTGGAGAGAAACCTTATGAATGTAGTGAATGTGGAAAGGCCTTCATGAATAAGAGAATACTCACAGTGCATCAGAGCATTCATACTGGAGAGAAACCTTATGAATGTAGTGAATGTATGAAGGCCTTCAATAGGAAGGAAAGTCTTACTCTGCATCAGAGCATTCATACTGGGGAGAAACCTTATGAATGTAGTGTGTGCAGGAAGGACTTCAGGAGTAAGCAACAACTTACGGTACATCAGAGGATCCATACTGGAGAGAAACTTTTTGAATGTAGTGAATGTGGAAAGGCCTTCAGGAGTAAGGCATGTCTGACTGGGCATCAGAGAATTCATACTGGAAAGAAACCTTTTGAATGTAGTAAATGTGGGAAGGCATTCAGGAGTAAGATACAACTTACTTTTCGTCAGATCACTCATATTACAGAGAAACCTCATTAGTATAGTGAATTTGGGAAAGCCTTTAGACAGAACGCATGACTTTGTGTTCATTAGAGAATTCATAATTGAGAGATTCCTCATGAATGTAAAGAGTGGGAGGACCATCCATCACAACTAAGCTTTTATTGAATAGAAGAGATTCCATACTGGTGAGGCATGTTACGAATGTGCAAGGCATTAAGAAGGAAGGCGCAACTTACCGTACATGAGAGTATTTATACTAAAAAGATTTGTTATACATGGAAGGGGTATACGACTTTGAACTTAGCTTACATCAGATAATAATGTTGGAGAGAAACCTTGTGAATGTAATATATGTGTGAAGGCCTTTATACAGAGTATACAACTTAATTTCTGTTGGAGAATTCGTACTTAAGAGATTCCTCATAAATATAAAGGGGGAAAGACCATCACAACTTAGATTTTATTGAATGTCTGAGAATTCAGCTGGTGAGGGTCCTTATGAATATGGAAAGGTCTTCAGAAGTAAGCCGCAACTAACTGTATGTCAGAGCATTCATACTGGATAGAAACCTTATGAATGTAGTGATTTTGGGAAAGCCTTCAGGAGTAAAACAAAATTTACTGGGCATTGAAAATACTACGAAGGTTCTTTATGAATTTAAGGAGTGTAGGAAGGCTTCCACTACAACTCAGAACTTCTCATTCGTTCTGATGAGAAACCTTATGAATGTACTGTATGTAGGCAGGCCTTTCGTCTGACTTTAGAACATACTGAGAACAAAAAACAGAACTCATTAGAACATACTTGTACATTAGAACATTGATACTGGAGAGGGACCTTATGAATGTAATGAATGTGGGAGACCTTCAGCCTGAGGATACTTAATCAACATCAAAGAATCTATTTTGGAGAGGAATCTTATGAGTTTCGTAATGCATGTGGGAAGGCATTTTGACTGAAGATACTCCCCTGATGTCTGTCAGAGAAGTCATGCTCTCTAGAATGTTTATGAATGTAAGGAGGATTGGAAGATCATATAGCTGTCTGGACTATGATTCTGAGCCCTTATATGAAGTTCTAAAGTCCTTATTTAGTCCCCAGGAAAGGAGATGTCCTTCTGAGCCCTCTGCGGGAAGAAAGATTAATGTTATCATCCCATGAACCTTCTCATAGGGAGAGGATTTGGTGATTGAGCCAGAGGATACTGAATGGGTGATGGTATTAGAAGAGCCTTCATATTAACTTTGATCCCTGGGCAAATGGCATGCAAGAGGTAAATAGATCTCTTGGCCATCAGATGAGCATGATATATGATAAATTCTTATTGACAGTGCTTGTGGAATATATGGTAATCTGAGCTGTGATCCTGATGTTGCTGGTGCTGCTTTTGCTCATTCTCATCATGGTAGCCACTGAACCATGCAATTTTAGAATCACATTAATTTTTTAAAAGCCTAGTAAGTGTCTTTGGTAGATAATGATGCTATATGATTTCTATCCATTGTTCTGAATATCGAAGTGAAGGAATTCAGTGAAGTGCTGGTAAACAGCAGTAGTGACTGTTACTCTTTTAAGGCAGTCACAGGCCTTGTCATCTAATTGTTGTGCTTTATTATTTGTTTTCAGAGGACCATGACATCAGAGAGGTGATGCCATGATGTAGAAGTGAGTTGGAGTTCATTGAGGTAGACTCACCTGCCTCACTTTACCCTCTGGAGTCATCTGGGTCCAGTGGTGAGGTATAGATCAGGATCTGCTCAGTGTTCTGAATGTCAAAGTGAAAAAATTCAATAAAGTCCTAGTAAATAGCAGGAATAAGTATTACCCTTTTAAGGTAGCCACAGGCTTTGTCCTGTAATTAGCGACATATGACAAGTAGAATGGGATTTTTATTGTGGTCAAAGGATATGAACAGGAAGTTTTCAGAAGAAAAAATCAAAACTAACAATTGTCTTAGGAAAAAATGCTCAAAATCACTTTTGATTAGAGAAATGCAAATGAAAGCACCTCTGAGATACCCCCCTCTCACCCATCAGATTGGGTAACATGATAAGGATAAGATAGATAGGGAAAATGACCAATTCTGGAGGGAGTATGGAAAAATATGGACACTAATGCACAGTTCAGAACTGTTCCAACCATTCTGGCGAACATTTTGGAACTGTGCCCCAAGGTCTATAAAACTGAACATTCTCCTTTACCCAGCTTTAACACTAGAGATCAAAGGCAAAGGACCTATGTGTACAAAAACATTTACAGGGGCTCTTTTTGTGGCAGCAAAGTACTGGAAATTGAGGGGATGTTTCACATTTGGGGAGTGGCTGGTAAGTTGTGGTTTATGGTTGTAATGGGGTACTATTTTACTGTCAGAAATGATAGATGGTAGCTAGGTGGTTGAACACTGTGCCTTGAGTCAGTAAGGCCTGAGTTCAAATAGGGCCTCAGACACTTACTAGCTCATTGACCTTGGACAAATCATTTAAGCTCTGTTTGCCTTAATCTGCTGGAGAAGGAAATTGCAAAATCACTCCATTCTCTTTGCCAAGATACCCCTATAATGAGATCAGGGATGCCATTGAACCACTATACAACTACATAATGAGGAGGATGGTTTCAGAAAAATCTGTGAAGACCTATATGAACTGACATAGACATTGTACATATAACAGCAACATTGTAATGATGATCAACTGTCAAAGACTTAGCTACTGTGATCAATATAATTCCAAAGGACTCATGATGAAACATATTATCCACCTCCAGAGAGCACAGTGATGAAGTCAATCTAAATTGAAGTATATGTTTTTTCATTTTCTTTGTTTTTCTTACTTTCTTTGCTACATGGTTTGTATTGAATTTTTTTTGGTATGATTTCACATGTATAATTGACATATTTCTTGCCTTATCAATGGGTGGGGGAGGACTAGAAAGAAAATTTTGGAACACGGTGTTAAAAAGAATGTTCAAAACAATTTTTTTTAAAGTTAAATGATTCAACAAAATGATTTGGAATCAGCTACAATGTGGGCCAGATTATTGAACTCTTAGACTTGGGTCTTTCTGCAACAGCAGAAAAGCCTAAGCTTTCTGTCTGCCTTTCTGTTCCCCAATAATCTGCCGTTTCTAACCAGATGGGTGCAAAATCCAATGGAGGTCAATTTGTGGGGGTCCGAGCTTGAGCTCTAGGGCAATGGAAGGTTTGGTGAGTAACTAATGCACACAGCCAGCGTTGGCTCTGCAGCTACATGACCAATCCTGGCACTGAGTCACCTGGTCTTTTCTCTCTCAGAGAGTTGACAGTGATCTAGAAATCACTACTTACAAACCCATTGTTCCAGCACTCCCGTCCTCTCAACCCCAAGTGTCCCAACAGGCTCGGTTTCTATAGCTGCTGCTCTCTTCCAGTCCCTCTTCAATGGTTTTGAGTCATCTTCCCATGTTTCTGCAGGGCTAGCAATATATAATCATCTTGAAAAGATAGGCTTGATTCATATCCTGGTGGGCTTTAACAAAGGAGTTAGTATTTTATCCTAGAGACAGTAAGAAAGCTACCAAAGTGCTAGATCAGAATGATGTGGTGTGACCTATGATTTAGGAATATCAGTTTGTTAATTATATAAAAAATGTGTTGGAAAGGAGAAAGACAGCCTGTGTATCTGTTTTGGTACAGACTCTTGTAAAGGTTGCCTGCACTCATGGAGATGGACAACTCCTGTGTAAATTATTGTCCTGGGCAAACCATGCTTGAAGAGGACTGAAGATTACTTTGGTACTCATCTCTTTCTGTAAAGGTGATAGATTTAAAATACGAGTGAGACTTAGATTTTTGGCTTTGCCCAATGTGGAAATTTATTTTGTGGGAGTATATATGATGTGAAGATTTTCTTTTTCTTTTTTCTTATTTTTATTTTTAGTTTTCAACAATCATTTTCATAAGCTTTTGAGTTTTAAATTTTCTCCCCCTCCCTTTGCACATCCCTCCCCAAGATGACGTGCAGTCTGATATAGTCTCTACATACACATTCCTATTAAGCATATTTTCACATTAGTCATGTTGTGAGAAGAATTAGAACCAGTAGATGGAACCACAAGAATGAAGAAACAGAACAAAACAGAAGAAAAAAAACCAAATAGTATTCTTCGATCTGCATTCAAATTCCATAGTTCTTTCTCTGGATGTGGATAGCTGTCATGAGACTTTTGGAGATGTCATAGGTCCTTGCATTGCTAAGAAGAGCTAAGTCTATCAAAGTCAGTCATCACACAACATGGCCGTTATTGTGTAGAACATTTTCCTGGTTCTGCTCATTTCACTCAGCATCAGTCCATACAAGTTTTGTCCAGCAAGCAAGTCTGCTTGCCTATCATTTCTTATAGCACAATAGTATTCCATTACGTTCATATACCCCAACTTGTTCAGCCATTCCCCAATTGATGGGCATTCCCTCAATTTCCAATTCTTTACCACCACAGAAAGAGCTGCTATAAACATTTTTGTACATGTGGGTCCTTTTCCCTTTTTTTATGATCTCTTTGGGATACAGCCCTAGAAGTGCTATTGCTGGGTCAATGGGAATGCACATTTTTATAGCCCTTTGGGCATAGTTCCAAATTGCTCTCCAAAATGGTTGGATCAGTTCACAACTCTGAAGGTTTTATCATTGACAGAGAAGGAAAAATGATTGCTAAAATAAGTGACCATTGTACCAAACAGGCCTCTAACCTGTGGGTGGCTGAATGCAGAACAGAACAGGCTACATTCAAGAGAGTCGGGCATCACACAAAAGTTCAATTTCAAAGTGAGTTAAATGGCTTGCAAGCAAGGAGGCAATGGGAGACATATATCCACCTCTAGTGGAGGGACCCAAGGTAGCGGGAGAAGTTCTCAGTACTTACGCCAGTAGCTGGGCAGTGAGCTGTAGCCCTGATGATGAGGGGTAACAGCAACAGTGATACACATTTGATTCATACCAAGTCTTTATGTTTGGAGCTGCGTACCTTTCCGAGTTTGTCCTGTGCTTTTCTGAACTCAGAGAACACCTGGTCCTGGTCAAAGCAATTCAGTAATTATGGGATTTTGCCAGAGGGCAAGCACAAAGGATTCTTGTTTTGCCAAGCTTGGGGCACAACTTGCTTGCTGTGCCTTAGCTCTGGAAAACAGGATGTCTGCTAATATTTTGCCAAAGTAAAATTTTAAATTAAAAAAAATTATAATTAGGGTTTAGAGTATGTCCCATCCTCCTGAGGTGGAATGTGTTGACCACCATTACATACAGAAGAAACTTATTTAAAAAATTATAAATATTAAGAATAAACAAAACAAAGGCAGTGGTGAACCAGATGATGAAGCTTTGGACCTTTGCACTTCCTTTCCATCCTCTGCTACCACAGACTAAGCTCTCTCACACAAGAAGGAGATGTGAAGGGAGACTAAAATTGGTGGGAAGACAGAATGGACTTGAGCATCAGCAGTAAGCATCCCTGGAGTGATCAGGGGTAGAAAAGCAAGAGATTGAGTTGGCCCTCCCAAGTAGCCATCATGAAAAATGCCATCTATGCAGAATCTTACTGCCGAATATAAGCAGACATCAATTTATGAATTTGTTTAAAATTATTATTTGCCACCCAATGGTGGTTGGGAGGGAATGGAGAATGTGTAGTCCCTTATTAGTAAGAAGACTATTAGCAAGTATGGTTTTCCCAGATAGAAGGAGGGGCCAAAGGATGGTGGGAGCTGGAAGCTGCAGTGGGTAAAGGGAGTAGGAACTTGGGAGCTGTCTGGAGAACTGATAGCAAATGAAGGGCTGCTATCCAAAACTGAACGTGATCCAGAGTAGTTAGAGCCGTGCAAGTTATCACCCATTTAGCAGTGACTGGATGTTGATGTTCTGCTGCTTTTGGGAGCTGAGTGAATTCATTCCCACTTCACTTTCATCTCCCCTCCTTCATCCTGCTTGGTGAAGTGACATTACTTTTACATTATATTTACTTCCTGTTTTCACTTTTATAGTGGGTTTCGACTGAAGAAAAAAATTAGCTGATTTTATGAAATTCTAAGCAAATGTTTGATGTGAATGATTGAACCTCTCTGGGGGAGGAGAAAGGGGAAAGTTTGGACACCTAATCCTGAACTTGGCCAGGGGCCTCATATTGAAGGGTTCTCTCTCCCTCTTCCCGAGAAACAGAGAGGATACATGTGTTTTATTATGTTAGAGATGTGAAGGGGTTTTTTTCCCTTTGTTTTTTTTTTCCTTTTAGGTGTTTTGTTTCCTTTTCAAGACTCAAATGCCATATGTGCAAAGTGGTTTCTGGAAATTGTCATATACTCAAAACAATAACTGTAAATGTTCTTTCTTTCTGGTTCAAATGTAGTTCTAATCAGGAGCAGCTTTTTTATTTTTTAGATTCATTAATTTATTTATTTTTAGTTTTCAACATTCACTTCCACAAGATTTTGAGTTCCAATTTTTCTCACCATCTTGTCCCTCCCTCAACCCCCAAGACAGTGTGCATTCTGAATACCCTTTCCTCTATCTGCCCTCCCTTCTATCTCCCCCACCATCCCCTTCCTCTATTTTCCTGTAAGGCAGGATAGATTTCTATGCCCCATTGCCTGTATGTCTTATTTCCCAGTTGCATGTGAAAACAATTTTTTAACGTTTGTTTTTAAAACTTTGGGTTCCAAATTTTCTCCCTTCCTCCCTCTCCACCCACCGTCATTGAGAAGGCAAGCAACTCGATATAGGTTATACCTGTGTAGTCATGCAAGACACTTCCATAGTAGTAATGCTGTGGACAACTAACTATATTTCCCTTCATCCTATCCCACCTCAGTCTATTCTATTCTCTCTTTTGACCCTGTCCCTCCTCAGAAATGTTTGCTTCTGATTGCACTCTCCTCCAATCTGCCCTCCCCTCTATCATCTCCCTGCTTTCATATCCCCTTCCCCCCTATTTTCCTGTAGGGTAAGATAGCTTTCCATACCCAATTGAGTGTGTATGTTATTCCCTCCTTAAGCCAAATTCAGTGAGAGTAAGATTCACTCATTCCCTCTTATCTTCTCCCACTTCTCCTCCACTGTAAAAGCCTTTTCTTGTCTTTTTTATGTGAGATAATTTACCCCATTCTACCTCTCCCTTTCTCCTTCTCCCAGGATAATCCTCTCTCACCCCTTAATTTTATTTTCCAGATATCACCCATTCATCTTCAACTCACCCTGTGCCCTCTGTCTATCAATCTATCTATACATATATTTTTTCCCCCCCCCATTACCCTAATACTGACAAAGGTCTCATGAGTTACAAATATCATCTTTCCATGTAGGAATGTAAACAGTTCAACCTTAATAAGTCCCTTATGATTTCTCTTTCCTGTTTTACCTCTTCATGCTTCTCTTGAGTCTTGTATTTGAAAGTCAAATTTTCTATTCAGCTCTGGTCTTTTCAACAAGAATTGCTTGAAATCTCTATTTCACTGAATGTCTATTTTTTCCCCTGAAGGATTATACTCAGATTTGCTGAGTAGGTGATTCTTGGCTATAATCCTATCTCCTTTCCCCTGCCGAATATCACATTCCAAGCACTCTGGTCCCTTAATGTAGAAGCTGCTAAATCCTGTGTTATTCTGATCGTGTTTTCACAATACTTGAATTGTTTCTTTCTGGCTGCTTGCAATATTTTCTCCTTGACCTAGGACCTCTAGAATTTTGCTACAATATTCCTGGCAGTTTTCCTTTGGGGAATCTCTTTCAGGAGGAGATCCGTGGATTCTTTCCATTTCTATTTTACTCTCTGGTTCTAGTATATCAGGGCAGTTTTCCTTGATAATTTTTTGAATGATGATGTCTAGGCTTTTTTTTTTTGATCATGGCTTTCAGATAGTCCAATAATTTTTAAATAATCTCTCCTGGATCTGTTTTCCAGGTCAGTTGTTTTTCCAATGAGATATTTCACATTGTCTATTTTTTCATTCTTTTGGTTTTGTTTTATAATGTCTTGATTTCTCATAAAGTTACCAGTTTCCAATTCCATTCTAATTTTTAAGGAAGTATTTTCTTCAGTAAGCTTTTGGACTTCCTTTTCCATTTGGCCAATTCTACTTTTGAAGGCATCTTCTCCTCATTGGATTTTTGGGCCTCTTTTGCCATTTGGATTAGGTTATTTTTTAAGGTGGTATTTTCATCAGTATTTTTTGGGGGGTCTCCTTTAGCAATTTCCAGAAACCACTTTGGACATATGAAGTTTCAGTCTTGAAAAAGAAACAAAACAAAACAAAAACCCTCCCATCTCAAAACTGACTTGTTTTTCATAATTTTCTTGCATCACTCTCATTTCTCTTCCTAGTTTTTCTTCTCTTTCTCTTACTTGCTTCTAAAAATCCTTTTTGAGCTCTTCCATGGCCTGGGACTGATTCATATTTTTCTTGGATGCTTTGGATGTAGGAGCTTTGACTTTGTTGTCTTCTTCTGGTTGTATATTTTGATCTTCTTTATCAACAAAGAAAGATTCTATGGTCTGACTTTTTTTTTGGAGCAGTTTGCTCATGATCCCAGCCAATTACTTGAGTTATAAACTCTTTGTTAAGGTAGGGGTCTGCTTCCAGTGTGGAGAATGTACTGCCCCAAGGGTTTTGTGCAGCTGTTTTCAGAGATACTTCTAGGAACCTGTAAGTTTTCAGTTCTTCCAAGGTGCTGTGATCAAGGGTGAGGTGTTTACTCCTTTCCTGGCCTGTACTCTGGTCTGTGAGTGACCACAAGTACTCATTTCTGGCTTGGAACTATGAGGAGGATTTTCTCTGTACCACCACTACAAGCTCCACCATGCCAGCACTCCTCCTTGCGCCAGGATCACCACCCAGAACTGTGACCCAGATCCAAGCACAGGAAAAGCGAAAGAATCATGTCTTAGCACCAGCAAAGAGATCCCTGCAATCCCCCTCTGATCAGCCACTTGATTCCCCCTCAGTCTGTGGCCAGAGCTCTGGAAGCAGCTTCTGCCGCTGGGCTGTACCAGGACTGTGCTGGGACCAAACTTCTCTCTCACCATGGTCACAGACTTTTCCTACTGACCTTCTAAATTGTCTTTGGCATTTGTGGGTTGAGAAGTCAGAAAATCTCCACAGCTGCCCATGATTCAGTCCCCTGATGCCTGCTCCAGGTTCACTGAGGCTACCCAAAACTGAATATAATACAGAGTTGGAAGCTTGTGCAAGCTATGGACCCATTTAGGAAATAGTGTGTCAAGACTGGATGTTAATGTTCTTCTACTCTTGGGAGCTTAGTGAATTCATTCCTACTTCACTACTTCCTTCTCCCCTCCTTTATCCTGCTTGGTAAAGTGATATTACTTTTACATTATGTTTATTTGCTGTCTGCGCTTTTATACTGCATTTTGGCTGGAGAAAAAAAAATCAGCTAATTCTGTCATTCTAAGCAAGTGTTTGCTGGCAATGATTGGACTTCTCTGGAGAAGGAGAAAGGGGAAAATTTGGACATCTAACCCTGGACTTGGCCATGAGTTTCATATTTAAGGGTTCTGCTCCCCCACCCAAAGAAACATAAAGGGAGGACATACATGTTTCATTAGTTTTGAGATGGGAGGGTTTTCATTTTGTTTTGTTTTCTTTTTCAAGACTGAAACTTCTTATGTTCAAAGTGGTTTCTGGATATTGCTGTACCCTCCAAACAACAGCTATAAATGGTCTTTGCTTTACAGTTCAAATGTAGTTCCAGTTAGGAGCAGATTTTGCTGGAAGCTGAGGTATTTCCCTCCTGCATTTCTGTACCTTTAGGTACCAGAGAAGGACTTGGAGTAGTCATGTCAGAGACTTGTGAGGTCTGGTGCTCCATTGGGTCCTAAGAAAGGGATAATGTTTTGTGTGTGTCCCCAGGGAGTGCCTCTGTTTCCTATTCAAGCTTGTAAAAGATGTCCTTGAGCATTTACTCTTCCTCCCTGAGCTATGTCTGCAACTCCAGGAGAAATCAAGAGGTGGAACCTGGGCAGTCTTGCCCATGAAGACACGCCTGGGTTGGTGAACAAGCTGTCTGTGCGTCCATCAGACAACTGTTTTTCTTCCTCAAAGAAACTGTTGTCCTTGGTGTCCTTATGATTTCATTTTGGGACCCTCCTGTCTCCCGTGGGCTGAGTTCCTGTGAAGGATCTCATTCCAGAGAATCAGCTGGCCTCCTAACCTGCGCAGGGCACGTGCAGAACCAGGGCTGGTCCTCAGTGCTCTTCCATTGCCCTCTTTTGTAGCCCATTTTCACTGTCCACCTTCCCCCCAGCTGGCCAGTCTGGTGGCTCCTCCCGGGGCAAAGCCGTCCCCTCCCTGCCGCCCTCTCCAAGGCCGCCAGCTCCGTTGGGCGGCTCAGATCTCCCGGGACAGGCGGTGCTGCCGCAATCTGCTCCCGCGCCACCCCGCAGTCCGTCCTCCCCGGGCTGCCACGGTGGCTCTCGCGCGGCTCTGACTCCTGATGAGGATGCCGGGGCCCCCGCTGCCTCTGCACAAAAGCCTCCACATGGGCCTCTCCCTCCTTCTGCTTTTTGGCACTCCGCCTCTGCAGACACTCGCGTGGGGTCTGGCCGGTCTGGGCAGCCTTCAGCAAACGCAGCACCCCCCACCACTGTGTGTGACACACTGCCCAGGTCAGGGGGACGCCACGAGGGGGCGCGATGGCGCGGTGCATTGGCGGCCAGGGAGGAGCCGAGCCCCAGGCATGCGCAGAAAGCGCGGCAGCCTCGAGACTACGATTCCCAGAAGGGCTTGCTCACCCGCGTGCATCTTGCAAGTTCAGAGGAGGGAGGTTGGTCGGTTCCTTTGACGTCATTTCCGCTGCGCCCCCTCGCCCCACTTTCACGCTTTGGGGTGTCTGTTTTTCTTCTCTGCCCCGAGTTGACCGGAAACGGGGTGAGCGGCCACGGAAAGCGGGGCCTGGCCCAGGCGGAGGCGGGCTGCGGGGCCGGAGCCCCAGGATATGGGGGGGATGCCCACCAGAGGGCGAAGCCTCCGGGGGGGGCAAGGGCATGGGGGGCGTCCCATGGCTGCCCACTCTCCGTGACCCCGGTTGGGGTTTCCTTGGCAACGATGCTAGAGTGGTGGTTTGCCCTTTCCTTCAGCCCATTTGGCAGATGAGGAGACCGAGGCCCACAGGGTTCAGTGACTTGGCCAGGGTCACCCGGCTAGCGGGCGCTGAGACTGTGTCTGCAGCCTTTGGCCCCGCACTCTATCCCCAGGGCCGGCTGGGGGCTGGAGCCAGAGCCGCCTCGACAGGCCTTGTCCCTCCAGGCCTCGGCCCTTCCCTGTGCAGAGCCCTGGGGCATGAAGTCCTGGTGCTTCTGTGTCCCTGGAGGGAGGCTGCGATGCCCCTGGTGACCGTGCCCTGCCCTGCTGAAAGGGTCAGGAGGTGCTGGCCCCAAGACAGCCCCCCCCAGAAGAGTAATGACCGATTCCTTCTGGCTCCCTCCCACCCCCGCCCCCCAGGAGAGAAATGACCTATTCCTTCTGGCCACCTCCGACCCCCGCTTTCACCCTCCCCCCCAATCTCCCCGCAGTGGAGAAGTGGGAATGAATGGTCTGAGCAGGGCAGACCCCCGGCTTGACCCTTTTACGCTCCTGCTTCTCCTTTCCTCCCCAGCTCTCCCTTCTGTGGCCTCTGCTCTGCCCCAGGAGGACAGCCTGGAGGAAGAGGGAATGGCTCCTGCCCTGACAGCCAGGCCCGGGAAGGTGAGTGCCACTTGCTGCTTTCCTGAAATAGCATCTCAGGCCAGAGACAATGGGATAGGTTTGTTTGTCCTGTCCACTAGAGATTGTGGGCATCAGGGAATCATATACTTAGAGCTAAAAGATACCATAGATTATAATCTATTTATCCAACACCACTTATCCTAAAATTTACATTCATATTTAAATTTTGGAATACCGATTCTTTCCTCCAACCCCTTCCCCACCCATTGACAAGGTGAGCAAGATACCCATTATGTATGTGAAGACAGACAAAACATTTCTATATTAGCCACATTGCAAAAAAAAATTAAAAATGCATTAGAATTTTAACAAGTGAAAAAGATATTCTTTTTATGCCTTTAGAGTTCATCAGTTCTCTCTTCAGTTTTCATCTTGAATCCTTTGGAATTTTCATGTGTCTTGTATTGAACAAAGTAGCCAAGTCTGTCACAGTTGATCATTGTTACAATATTGGCATTACTGGCCAGAGTGTTCTGATTCTGCTCATTTCACTTTGTCTTAATTTATCAAAGTATTTTCAAGTGTTTCTGAACTTATACCACTTACCATTTCTTAATGATGACATTAGGTTGTGTTGAGGTAGTTCCGTCGTAAAGAATTCAAAGACTCAGATAGTCTTCAACCAAGCAAAGAGATTTATTGTGGTTTTGAGGTTAAGTTCTTTGGAGGAGTTAGCAATTTCAGTAAAGCAAGACAGTCAGTTTATAGAGTTTATGATGCTGATCACACTATCAAAATCTATATAGAATATACAAATATAATTAATATTAAAAGGCAAGGGGGCTGCGAGGTAGCACAATGGATAAAGCACCGGCCCTACAGTCAGGAGGACCTGAGTTCAAATCCAGTCTCAGACCAGATGCTTGACACTAGCTGTGTGACCCTGGACAAGTTACTTAATCCCAGTTGCCCCACAAAAAAAATTAAAATAAAATAAAAGGCAAGAGGAGATTCTTAAGCAAGTAAATAACAGAAGAGGGGTCCCAGCCTTGGTGGAACTACATATGCAATTACCCACAATGCATATAGAAAAACACTTTTGGGGTGCATTATTGTATGATAATGATATTATAATAAGCCTCTCTACAGCATAAGTTTACTCCAGGTCAGTTCTTTACCATTACTATGCAGGCACCGTCTTGGTGGAAGCCCCATCTGTGGTTTGGTGGGCAAGCATCCTGGTCTACATCCTAGTGGTGCTACTCTCTGGTTGGCTGGCTATTGTGGTCCTGTCTTGGGCTAAGTGGATGTTGTGGTTGTGGTTGAGAGTGTGGACACACCTGCTGTTTCTGTGGGGAATATAAGAATTTGATCTGGGAGCAGGGACTGGCCAGAGACAGTGGCTCTATTGAGTCTGGGGGCAGTTGATAGGTAGCAGCAGTGGGCCTGCTGTTTAGTGAGGCCTGTGATTGAGTATGGGAGCCTGTGGTGTGGGTAAAGCCAGATTGTGTGGTCAAATTAGGGCATGCCTGCTGTTCAGTGAGGCCCATAAGGCAGTTAGGATATTGTGGCTGAGGGTTCCATCTTTAGTATACAGTAGTATTCCCTCATAGTCATGCCTCACTCCTTATTCAGCTGTTCTCTAGTTGATTGGCACCTGTGGTGAGTGAAAGATGATATGCCCAAGGAAACAAAGGTTCGATCTTCTGAACACAGCATTTAATAAGGTGATACATGTCAGTTTTTCAATACAACGGGACCAGGCCTCCTCACTTTAAGCCTGGACCCAAAATACAGGGAGAAACAGACTTTTAAAAACAATTCATCAAATAAGGTCAGCTAATAAAAAGGAAACATGCCATGAGGTAATCTGATTTCTGATTGGATGAAAGATTAGGAACTTTCCAAGTTGAGAAGGGAATGGTGAACAGGTACAGTGCCCTGAAATCAGAAAAAGAGTAGTAGTCCCACTCCCCCCAAGTGTTTGTAAACAAAGTAACATGGAGACAATAACTGATTGATCAGTTTTTAGACAAGAGATGTGAATTGCTTGCCATACACAGTTGTGAGAAACTCCTTACATCAGTCTTTGGATCTGACTGGGTTTCTGGTCAGCATAATGTGGGTCCTTTGTTAAGGGGCTCTGCACAGTAGGGAGAGGTTATCCAGTTTCCCAGCTACTAGGGGCTTGGGTCAAACAACGAGATAAGGTTTTCCAGTTGCCACAGTTGAATAAAGTTTTCTCTCAAGACAGCAATTGGACTAGAAACTAAGCTAGCTCCAGAATTGAGTCACAAGATGGTGTCAGTGTGGTTCACTCAATTCCTACAGTAAATCATGTGTCCTAATCCCCTGAATTCCCTCAAATTTCACTCTATTTCAGAAGGGCGTGGGTGGGTTCCTGAAGTTACCCAAAGTCCTAGGAGTTCTTCCCTGCAATCTTAAAATGATTCCCTCACATCTGCTCAATTTCTAATTCTTTGCCACCACAAATAAAGCTGCTCTAAATGTTTTTGTGCATTTAGGTCCTTTCCCTTTGTCTATGATCTCTTGAGATAAAGACCTAATTAGAGGGATTGCTAGGTCAAAGGATATGCACAATTGTATAGCCTTTCTGGTGTGGTTCCAAATTGTATTCCAAGAATGGTTGGAACAGTTCACAATGCCAGTAATAGTGCATTAGTGTCCCTATTTTTCCACACCTTCTAGCATTTATTATTTTCTTTTTCTGTCTTGTTAGACAATCTGATAAGTGTGAAGTGGTATCTCAGAATTGTTTTTATTTGCATTTCTCTAAGTATTGGTGATTTAGAGCATTTTTTCATATGACTATTGATGGCTTTAACTTTTGAAAACTGCCCCTTCATAACCTTTGCCTATTTTTCTGTTGGTAAATGGATCTTAAATTTATAAAGTTAGCTCAGTTTCCTATGTATTTGAGAAATGAGTCCTTTATCAGAGAAACTTTGCTATGGAAACTTTTTCCATTTTCCTGATTGCCTTCTTATTTTGGTTGCATTGGTTTTGTTTTTGCAAAAACGTTTAAATTTCATTTAATCAAGATTGTGCATGTTACCTCCTGTGATCCTTTCTATCTCTCATTTGATCATAAATTCTTCTCTTTTCCACAGACCTAGCAGGTACATTTTTCTATGCTTGCCTGCTTTGCTTATGATACCACCCTTTATATCGAAACTATGTACTCATTTTGACCTTAACCTTGGCACATGACTTGAGATGTTGGTCCGTCCCTGCTTTTTGCCAGACTGCTTTGCAGTTTTGCCAGTAATTTTTGTGAAATGGGGATTTCTTACCTGAAAACCATGGATGTTTGAGTTTATCCAACACTGGATTATCATGGTCATTACTTCTGTGTATTATATACCCAGTCTATTCCATTGATCAGTCATTGATTTTCATAGCTCTTCCCAGATGGTTTTGATGGTTACTCCTTTTAATATAGTTTGAAATCTGTTATGTTAGGTTCCCTTCCTTCACATGTCTTTTGTTTGATTCCCTTGATATTCTTGACCTTTTGTTTATCCTGATAATGTTTAATATTTTTCTATAAAAAAATTCTGTTAATTTGATTTGTATGGCACCAAATATGTATATTAATTTAGTTAGAATTGTCATTTTTCTTATGGCTCAGCTTACCCAGGAGCAATTAGTATTTCTCTAATTGTTCAGATATCTGTTTGTGTGAAAAGTATCTTGTAATTATATTCCTATAATTCCTGGGTGGGTCTGGGCAGGTAGGCTCTGCATGCCTGTGGTTATTTTAAATGGAATGTCTCTTTTTCTCCCTCCTGGGCTTTGTCGGTAATATATAGAAATGCTGATGGTTTATGTGGGTTTATTTTATATCATGCAACTTTGGTAAAGTTCTTGATTATTTTAACCATCGAAGCATCTGCAAAAGTATGATGGTTTTATATTGTTTTTTGTCTTATTCCTTGAGTTTCTTTTTTCTTGTGTTATTACTATTGTTAGCATTTCTTGTAAAATATTGAATAAAAGTGTTGACTTCTAATTCCAGAAAGAAATAAAAGACTAAGGGTATAGGAAGGGGGAAGAGTATTTCAGGCTTGGGGGAGAGGATAAATGGCATTCAGGTAGGTTTAGTAATAGGTGGGCATGGTACCAGGTAGAAGTAAAGTAGAAGAGTCAGGAGGGATAGGAAATAAGAGATACACACAAGCATAAAAGAATTTATTAGGAGAAAAAAGCAGTAGTAATCATGATCTCAGACAAACTAAAAGCTAAAATAGATTTAATCAGAAGAGAAAAATAGGGAAACTACACTGTCAGCCATATTAATCAATACTGTTTTAGACTATTTAAAATAACTAGACAGTGTAAGGTTAGAATATTGCTGTTATGTAGGAAATGATGAGTTGATGGACTTAGAAAAATATGGAAAGTCTACAACTTATCAAGGAAGATATTGTCTACCCTCAGAGAAACAGAGGACGTGAATGTATGTATCTATATATAAGTATGATTATAGGTATCTAAGTATATATATAATATCTGTATATGTGTGTATGTGTATAATATAGATGTGTACATAGGTATACGTATATGTGCATGGGTGTACATACATATATGTATACCCATACGCACAGGTATATGCATGCATGCATATACATACATGTATACACACATCTCTAAGCTAAATTGTAGCTTTATTGAGGAGGGCAGGAGGAAGCAGAGGAAAAAGAACAAAGTAAAAAGTGCACAGCAGAGAACAAAAGAAACTTAACAAGGAAGCAAAGAAAAGATGGACAGCTCTCAACACAATATGCAATGTTTATTATATAGGCTTTCTTGAAAAGGAGATTTATTGCTCTGTATTTTGAATGCTCTCTTACATTCTGCTGTGCACATGACAGTTTTTTTCTTTTTTTGTATTTAAGTTTATAACATGTTTCTTTTTTTTCCTTATTGTGTATTTAAGTTTAAACTAAATTAATTAAATAAAAGACTCCTTGATTTCAAATCTACATTTTGGGGAAGTGCTACATTAAAGTGAATTTAATTAAAGAGTAAGAGGTGGCAAAGTATAAAGAAAAGAACACCAGACTGTGTGTCAGAAGGCTTGTGAGACTCAGCAGTTGTTAATAGCTGATTGGAGCCTAACTAATCACGATAACAAAAATGGCTTTAAGTACCATTAACTGAAGAGGAATAAAAAGAAATAGCACAGGGTAAAAAATCAGTAAAAGACAACAAAGCCCCAAAGAACTGATTCTGATGATAAATGTTACCAAAAAAAAAAAGATTAAAAAAAAAAACCTAGTTTGGAGGCAAGCAAGAGACCAAAGAATAGTGAGGACCATGTTTAGTGGATGGGATGACCATAAGGAGGATGCCTGAGAGAAGGCTAAACTCTTGCTTGGATTTAGTTTTCTCTTTGGAAAATGAAGATCTTTGAAGTGGGATTTAGAGCCCCCAAATTGACAATAAGAAGTGGATACCCAGGGTAAAGGGAGCTAGACAGGATCCAGTTGTTCTGAAAGAAGTGTGCAATGTGTTTAATTGCTTAGCCGTTCTCAGGTATCCCTGCAGGACCTTGGAGAATAGGGTTGGTGCCGCAGAATCAGAGAGGGGACTTGTGGCAAGTTTAAAAAAAGAGGCTGTGGATTCTGCAAAGCCTAGGCCGGTGACTTCCAACTCTAGCACATGCCTAGCATACTTTTTTTTTAATGAGTTGGTTAGTGAGCTATTAGAAAAGGCTGCTTCATTTATTTATTTATTTTCAACAGTGCTTTTTGGTCAGTCATTTGTGGGAAATGTTTTCTTCCCTCACCTTCTTTTATAGCAAAGAAACACAGTTACATAAAAATACCAATCATAGTGACTCTTCCAGATAATTCAGAAAACATTCCCTTCTCTGGTGGTCTCCATCTCGTCTGCTGTTAGAAACAGTAACGTTTTTTTCAAATTACTCAGAGTTCAGCATCTTTTTCTTTTTAGAAGATATATTTTTTGTAGTCTTTGTATATAATGTTCTGTTGTCTCTGCTTATTTTACACTGCATCATTTAATTCACATTTCCATTGCTATTCAAAATTCTTCATATTTGTCATTTGAAACTGTATAATAAATCCATATGCCATTTTTTGGTAATCCTTCTTTGTTGGTGAGAATTCAGATTGTTTCCAGTTCTTTGCTGCCCCCAAAGGTGTGCTCTTATGAATGTTTTTGTGTATAAACTCACCTGTGGCCTTGTTCTGGTTATAGAAAAAGGGTATGGCAGCATGGTAATGAAAATATCTCTGGATTTGGAGTTCAAACCTGGGTTCAAAGTGCAGATCTGCAGTTTACTCCCTTTTGACCTTCAGCAGGTTACTTTCTCTCTTTGGGCCTCACTTCCCTAATTTGTAAAATGAGAAAGTTGGATTGTCAAGTCTCTTTCAGTTCTAAATATATGAATTGGAAAACAATGGGTCCTTTAATATCCTTTTCGGCTGTAAAACATTTCCCACAATGTTGCAGATAGGAGATGGTCGTCCCCCCATGCTCACCTTTGCTCTTATGGTTCCAGGAGCATTGAGCACAATCATGTTCACTAGGAAAAAAGTGGGGGGGAGGGGGGGAAGAAAAGCCCATACACATTTAAAATGGATGTTATTGGATACATTAACAACAATAAGTATCCACTGTACTAAGTTGTGAAGATACAAAGAAAGCAAACCTGGCCACTGCCCCCTAGGAGCTTACAGTCTAATGAGAGAGGAATTTTACTAAAGTGCCTGTTATGCATTGGTCACTGTGCTGGATTGTACATAAGCAGCTGAAACAATTCCTATTGCCAAGGAAGTTATATTGAAACTCCATAACAATTAGAGTTATATCTTGGTAAGCACAAATATTCTTGGTGTTTCAGGAATCAGTGACATTCCAGGATGTGGCTGTGGAATTCTCCTTGGAGGAGTGGATTCATTTGAACCTGTCTCAGAAAAACTTGTACAGGGATGTGATGCTGGAGAACTATAAGAACTTGGTGTTTTTGGGTAAGAACAGCTTCCCCTTTGCAGTCCTGGTCTATATGATGTTGGCTTTCAGGATTTTAAGTTATTCTTTGACATACAAAAGGAAGATATTCCCTAGTCCTTGTGTAGCTCAGAGACTCAGTATTTGTGCTACCTGTTTCCAGGAAAAAGGTTGCTTAGTATGCCTGAAAATTGATTTCTTGATTTGTTGTTATCCTTGAGACTCTGTCTTCCCCTCTCTTGCTTCAAATCCAAGATTTTGTGTTCAATCCCAGTGTAGGTTTCATCATATACGAAGTGTTCCCATTGTCTGAGCAGAGTCAGATGAACTACTTTTCCCAAGTCATACTCTATAATCCATTCCCACATAATATAATATCTTTCATTGTATTATCCTTGGGGTCTTCCTAGCATGCCTACTTTTTTCCCAAAGAGAGTTTAACTGGTTTTGAATTCTTTTACTAATTTTTGTGGCTGCCTTTTTTTTTTAAGCAAAACAAAACAAACTCTACTTCTCCTTCTGTCTAGGCCATTAACCCCCCCTTGGTTGAAAAAAATAATCACAGACAAAATTAGCTAACATAATGCTTGGGGTGGTATAAGATAAAATTTGTGCTCTTACTCCCCGACTTTTCTATCAAGAGTTGAGAGGAGTGTTTTGTGTCTGTTCTATGATTGAATTGTGAGATGAGTGTGCCTATCACTTTTTCATTTTCAACAAACAGGATTTGCAGTTTCCAAACCAGATGTGATCTACCAGTTGGAAAGAAAGGAAACATCTTGGATGCCAGAGGCAGATATTCCAAGAAGCAACTGTCCAGGTGACTACATAAAAAACAATGAAATGAGTCACTGGAAAATACTACTCTGTTGGTTATTGTAGGTCAGAACTCTTATAAAATGTTGAACAGAGTGAAAGCTTCTCAGGCCTGTTGAGAAGAGCTGAGACTTTAAAATGTCTTTTTCTAACTCAATAAGTTACTTTTTTGTGCATCTCTTTAGTCACATGTACCTCCACTTTCAAAGCAAGTGGTTGCCTCAGTGTGGGGTAGGTATTTGTGTCCTGTTCATTGAAGATCATCCTGTCTTACGCAGGCATTCTCTCGCCTCAGTTGCATGAATCCATTCTCCCTCTTAGAATAAGCATATCATTTGATCTGTTAATAGTATTCCCTTTTGGCATTTATGTTCTCTTCTGGTATTTCTTCTCTGTTGCTTGATGCTTATGTTTCTTTGCTGCTGTTACTTTATAAAATATTTAATCTTAACTTAATTCCCTTTGTGTCAGCCTGTCATGTTATATGTTATCCTGTTTTTCTTTATGCTTTGAAATTATGTTCATCAGGGCAGAATAATATATTCCTATGACATGATTTATTTAGCCGTAAGGCCATCATTGGACCTGTAGGTTTTGCATATTTTGCTATTTCATAAAAAGCTATGGTGAGTATTTTTGAGAAGTGTTTTTGCTTTCAGGATCATTTTGAGGATGTAGACCTACTAATGGGACCATTGGATCAAAAGTTATGAAGTTTTGTACCTAAAGCTTAAATTGCTTTGTAATTTTTTACACAAATGGCATCAACAACTTAATACATGTCTATTTCAGCATAACTTCCAAAATTTGTTATCATTTTAAAGTATCTTTTTTAGTCTGATGAGTGTTTGGGTGTTACCTCCAAATTGTTCTGTGTTTTATTTCTTTGATTACCGGAGTTGCAGTGTTGTTTCTGGTAGTTATTGGTATTTTGTCTTGTGAAAAATGTCTTGATCATTTACCTTTTTGGAGTTAGATCTTACTCTTACAGATTCCATCAGTTCCTTACAATAGAGATGTGTTGGATTTTTAGCGGACATTTATGGCAGCAATTGTCCAGTAAGACTCTTTGCCTCGTCTCTTTTCTTTCTGCCATGTCTCTTTTTATCTTTCCTCGTGCTGATCTCATTAATTCTCCTTTTCTTTCCATTCAGTGTCTTCCTTTTCTGCTTCCACTTTAAATTTAAGGATGCATTTTTTTGTTGTTGCTTAGTTATGTTTTGCTCATGTCCAACTGTTTATGACCTAAATTGGGTTTTTCTTGGCAAAGATGATGGAGTGGTTTGTGTTTTCCTTCTCTAAGTCACTTTACCGGTAAGGAAACTGAGGCAGACATGGTAAAATGGCCTGCCTAGAGTCACACAGCTAGTGTTTTGAGTCTTGATATGATCTCAGAAAGATTAATCTTTCTGACTCCACTCACAACAGTTGATTCACTGTGCCGCCTAGTTGCCCTAAGGCTACTTTCGCAACCTCTTAAAGTCATCTAGTTTTTAAGGATACTGTATTTCCCCGCATAATCGTTATACCCTGGGTTTTTTTTTCCAGTCCAAAGATTAGTTTATAACCTTTCATCATGTAATTATCACATGATATAATTCTCTTCATCTTGCTGCTTAAAAGGTAAACAGAGCAGGGATTTATTCATCAGTGGCCTGTGGATATCCATTTATCTCTTGAGCATTGGGAGCCAAGAGCCTAGGATTCTCAGGGCAATGCATTGTCAGTATATTTCCCAAAACCAACCTGTGTGGTGTATGTAGAGCACTGCAGTACTAATGGTATTGTCACTCAACCCAAGGAAGAGCCGTAGGTGCAAGGGGAGCAGGGGAGCAGGTGAAGCTGCCGTGCGTAAGTCACGTGATGTGGTAAGACTTACATCTTCCCTCATTATCTAAACTGTACGTTTGTCTGTCATTGATACCGGGTAATAATAAGTGATTTTTAAATAATATCGGCACAAATTTTTTTTTAAAAGCTTCACATAATGGTCACACCCCGCTTTTTTGCAAAAAAAATTTGGCATGAAATCTGCAGCGATTATGCAATGAAGTATGTAGTCTTTCATTTCCTTATGCAATTCAAATGTCAACCATTTACAATCGAATAAATTCATCTAATTCATCCTTTCCAGGTAGTTTCATCCCAAGTCAGTTCATTTATTTGTTAATTTTGGGTGACCTTATTTTCACATAAGATAAACTGTGATCCTTAAAGAGTAGTAAGACTAGTCTTTTCAAGTGGGAATGCAAGAGAATCTCTCTCAAAACTCTTGAGGAAGTAGGAGTCTTTGAAAATGGAAGAAAAGGAAGGGTTAATCAGGTCTTTATTCTTCCTTTCAGGGAGCAAAGGATTTACTGAAGAGAAATTTTATAAATGTGGTGAATGTGGGAAGACCTTCAGGAGTAAGACGCAACTTACTATGCATCAGAGTATTCATACTGGAAAGATTCTTCATGAATGTAAGGAGTGTGGGAAGGCTTTCATCTACAACTCAGAACTTCGTCTACATCAGAGAATTCATACTGGAGAGAAACCTTATGAATGTAATGTATGTGGGAAGGCCTTCAGGAGGAAGGCAAATCTTACTGTGCATCAGAGAATTCATACTGGAGAGAAACCTTATGAATGTAGTGAATGTAGGATGGCCTTCAGGCGTAAGACACAGCTTACTGTGCATCTGAAAGTTCATCCTGGAAAGATTCTTTATGTATGTAAAGAGTGTGGGAAGGCTTTCCAATATAATTCAGAACTTATGAAACATCAGAGAAATCATATGGGAGAGGAGCTATGTGAATGTAATGAATGTGGGAATGTTTTTAGGAGTAAAACACAACTTACCGTGCATCAGAGAATTCATACTGGAGAGAAACCTTATGAATGTAAGGAGTGTGGAAAAGCTTTCTTCTACAACTCACACCTTATTAAACATCAAAGAATTCATACTGGAGAGAAACCTTATGAATGTAGTAAATGTGGGAAGGCCTTTAGGAGGAAGGGAAATCTTAATATGCATCAGAGAATTCATACTGGAGAGAAACCGTATGATTGTAGTGCATGTGGAAAGGCCTTCAAGAGGAAGTCAACTCTTAATAAGCATCAGAGAATTCATACTGGAGAGAAACCTTATGAATGTAATGAATGTGGGATGGCCTTTAGGCTTAAGACACAGCTTGCTATACATCAGAGAATTCATACTGGAGAGATACCTTATGAATGTAGTGTATGTGGGAAGACCTACAATAGGAAGTCAAATCTTACTGTGCATCAGAGAATACATACTGGAGAGAGTGTTTATGAATGTAAGGAGTGTGGGAAGGCTTTCCATCACAAGGCAGTTCTTAGAAAACATCAAAGAAATCATCAGGGAGAGAAACCTTATGAGTGCAGTATATGTAGGAAGACCTTCAGGATGAAGTCATATTTGACTGCACATCAGAGAGTTCACACTGGAGAGAAACCTTTTGAATGTAGTGAATGTGGGATGGCCTTCAGGCGTAAGACAGAGCATACTGTGCATCAGAGAATTCATACTGGAGAGAGTCTTTATGAATGTAAGGAATGTGGGAAGGCTTTCTTCTACAACTCAGTATTTATTCTACATCAAAGAATTCATACTGGAGAGAAACCTTATGAATGTAGTGAATGTAAGAAGGTGTTCAGGAGTAAAACACAACTTAATGTACATCAGAGAGTTCATCCTGGAAAGATTCTATATGAGTGTAAAGAGTGTGGGAAGGCTTGCCAGTACAATTCAGAACTTATTCGGCATCAAAGGATTCATGCTGGAGCTAGACCTTACGAATGTAGTGAATGTGGGAAGGCCTTCATGAATAAGAGAACACTTACTGTGCATCAGAGCATTCATACTGGAGAGAAACCTTATGAATGTAGTGAATGTAGGAAGGCATTCAGGTGTAAGACACAACTTACTGTTCATCAGAGCATTCATACTGGAGAGAAACCTTATGAATGTAGTATATGTGGGAAGGCCTTCAGGAGGAAGCCACGTCTTACTATGCATCAGAGAATTCATACTGGAGAGAAACCTTATGAATGTAGTAAATGTGGAAAGGCCTTTAGGATTAAGGCACATATTACTATGCATCAGAGCATTCATACTGGAGAGAAACCTTATGAATGTAGTGTATGTGGGAAGATTTTCAATAGGAAGTCAAATCTTACTGTGCATCAGAGAATTCATACTGGAGAGACACCTTATGAATGTAGTGAATGCAGGATGGCCTTCAGGTTTAAGAGACAGCTTACTGTGCATCAGAGAATTCATACTTGAGAGAGACTTTATGAATGCAGTGAATGTTGGAAGGCTTTTATACAGAATATACAACTTTATGTCCATAAGGAAATTTCATACTTGAGATATTCCTCATGAATGTAAAGAGTGGGAAGAACATCACAGCTTAGATTTAATTGAACATCACAAAATTCATTCTGCTGAGGGTCTCCTTCAGAAGTAAGCTACAATTTATTGTACATCAGAGCATTTGTACTAGAAAAAACCTTATGAATGTAGTGAATATGGGAAGACCTTCAGGAGTAAGACACAATTTACTGTGCATTCAAAATTCATACTGGGAAGATTCTTTATGAATATAAGGAGTGTGGGAAGGCCTTCCATTACAACTCAGAGCTTATTGGACATCACGGTATTCATACTGAAGAGAAACTGTATGAATGTTGTTTATGTGGGCATGCCTTCTTCCTGACTTTAGAAATTACTCAACATTAGAGTATTGATATTGGATAGAGCTCTTATAAATGTGATGAATGTGAAAGATCTTCCGACTGAGGACGCAACTTATTCAATATCGAAGAATCTATTCTGGAGTGAAACCTTATGTATTAGGTAATGCATGTAGGAAGGCATTTAGACTGAGGACACTTCTCTGATGTCTATCAGAGAATTCATACTCTGTAGAACCTTTATGAATGTAAAGTGTGTGGGAAGATCCAGTAGGTATCTAGACTGAGTCTGAGTCCTTATGTGAAGTTCTAAGAGTCCTTATTTAGCCCTCATGAAAGGAGATACTCCTCTCCTCTGCAGAGCTTTCTAAAGGAAGAGAGATTAATGTTATTCTCTCACAGACCTTCTGATATGGAGAGGATTTGGTGGTTGAGCCAGAGGGTACTGAGTGGGTGGTGTTTGGGGGAGAGCCTTGATATTAACTTTGATCCCTGGACAGATGGCATGCAAGAGGCATATGGAGATGTTTTGGCCATCAGATGAGCCTGATGTATGATAAGTTGTTGACTGTGCTTGAGGAATATATCATAATCTGAGCTGTGTTCCTGATGTTGCTGGTGCTGCTTCTGCTCGTATTCATCAGAGTAGCCACTGAACTATACAGATTTGGAATCACATTAATTTTTAAAAAGCCAAGTAAGCGTCTCTGGCAGATATTGGTGCTACATGATTTCTGTCCGTTGTTCTGAATATGAAAGTGAAGGAATTCCATGAAGTGCCGATAAACACTTAGTAGCGTTTGCATAGTGGTGATGCACAGTAACACTACTGTGCATCAGAGAATTCATGCTGTAGAGAGTGTTAAGTCTCTGTTAGTAGTAACTGTTACTCTTTTAAGGTAGCCACAGGCCTTGTCATCTAATTAGTGACATATGAAAAGTAGAATGGGATTCTGATTGTGGTCGAAGGATATGAACAGGAAGTTTTCAGAAGAAATTAAAGCTAACAATTGTCATAGGAAAAAATACTCTAAATCACTATTGATTAGAGAAATGCAAATAAAACAATTCTAAGATACCACTTTGCACTTATTAGATCAGGGAATGTCATAGATAAGAAAAATGACCAATTCTGGAGGGTTATGGAAAAACAGGGACATTAATGCGTATTGCAGCTGTTCCAATTATTCTCATGAACAATTTGGAACTGTGCCTAAAGGGCTATAAAACTCTGCATTCCCTTTCAGGGAGCTATAGCACTACTTGTTCTGTATGCCAAAGAGATCAAAGAAAAAGGAAAAGTACCTATATGTACAAAAATATAGCAGCTCTTTTTGTGGCAGCAAAGTATTGAAATTGATGGGATCCTCATTATTTAGGGAATGGCAAGACAAATTGTGCTTTTTGGTTGTATTGGAATACTATTTTGCTGTGAGAAATGATAGATACTAGCTAGATGGCTTAGAGGATAGAGCATTGTGCTTGAAGTGAGTACAACCTGAATTCAAATCGGGCCAAAGACACTTATTAGCTCTGTGACTCTGGGCAAGTCACTTAAGCTCTTTTTGCTTTAAGCTACTGGAGAGGGAAATGGCAACATCACACCATTATCTTTGCCAAGAAAACCCCCATAATGAGCTCATGAAAAGTTCAGCAATCATAGAACTACCGAACAACAACAACATGAGTGTGATGGTTTCAGGAAAACCCGTGAAGACCTATATGGATTGATATAGAGTGAAATGCGCAGAACCAGGTGGTCGTCGTACACAGGAACAGCAACATTGCAATGATGATCAACCGTCAAAGACTTAGCTACTTTAATGAAGATAATTCCAAAGGGCTCATGATGAAACACGCTCTCCACCTCCAGAAAGCAAACTGATGAACTCAATGTAAATTGAAGTATGTAGTTTTTTTCATTTTCTGTATTTTTCTTTATTTGCTACATGGTTAGTTTTTTTTTTTTTGGTAAGGTTTCACATGTATAGTTGTTATGTTTCTTACCTTATCAATGGGTGGGAAGGGCCTGGAAAGAAAATTTTCTAATTCAAAATGTTAAAAAGAATGTTCAACATAATTTATTTAAATAATAAAAATAAAAAGATTTGGAATCACCTATAAAAGTCTAGATTATTGAACTCCTAGATTTGGGTCTTTCTGCAACAGAAAGGAAAAGCCTAAGATTTCTGCCTTCCTGCCTGATCTCCAGTAATCTCTTTGCCAGTTCTAGCCAGATGTATGCAAAGTCAAATGGTGGTCAGTTTGTGGAGGTCCAAGCTTGCGCTCTAGGGCCCAAGAAGGTTTGGTGATTGACTAATGCACACAGCCAGAAGTTGGCTCTGCAACTACTTGACCAATCCTGGAAGAGAGTTACCTGGTCTTTTCTCTCTGAGAGTTGACAGTGATCTACAAATCACTACTTAGGATCCCATTGTCCCAGCACTCCCATCCTCTCAGCTACAAGTGTCCCAACAGTATCAGTTTCTGGAGCTGCTGTTCTCTTCCAGCCCCTCTTCATTGGTTTTGAGACATCTTCCCATGTTTCAGCAGAGCAAGCAGTGTGTAATCAGCTTGTAAAGATAGGCTCGAGTCACACCCTAAAGGGCTTTAACCAAGGAATTAGTATTTTATTCTAGAGTCAGGAAGAAAGCTACTGAATCCATGGAACAGAATGACATGGTCTGGTCTAGGCTTTAAGAATATGAATTTGTTAGGGGCAGCTAGGTGGCGCAGTGGATAGAGGACTGGCCCTGAAGTCAAGAGGACCTGAGTTCAAATCCCGCCTCAGACCCCACACTTGACACTTACTAGCTGTGTGACCTTGGGCAAGTCACTTAACCCCAATTGCCTAAAAGCCAAAAAAAAAAAAGAATATCAATTTGTTAATTGTAAAAAGAATATGTTGGAAAGGAGAAAGACTGCTTGTGTGTATGTTTTGGTCTGGACCTGTGTGGAGGCAAATTATGATTCAAGAGGACTGAAGATAGGTATGGCACTCATCTCTTTCTGCAGAGGCGATGGATTTAAAATAACAGAATGAGGTTTAGATTTTTGGGTGTGACCAATGTGGAAGTTTATTTTGTTGGACTACAGGTATATGATATGAAGGTTTTATTTTTCTCGTCTTTTTTGTTCAGTGAGGGAGAAGGAAAAATAATTGCTAAAATAAAAGTGTCAAGTAGATGGAACTGGCCTCTAACCTGTCAATGGCTGGAGCTGAACAGAGCAGGCTAGAGAATGGAATCAAGCAGGTGTTTAATTTCAAAGTGAGAGAAACAGCTTGCAAGCTTTGTTTCTTTGTTGCCTACTCAGATTCTTTCTTTTTCTTCTCTTATTGCTAAAGCTAACATTCCTAGTACAATATTTTTCTTAAATTATTCATTTTTAGTTTTCAACATTCACTTCCATAAGATTTTGAGTTTTAAGTTTTCTCCCCCTCCCTTGCCTCTCCTTCCCCAAGAAAGCATGTAATCTGATGTAGGCTCTACTTTTACATTCATATTAAGCATATTTTCACATTAGTCAAGGCCTGATCACACCCTCCTCCCAAAAACCAGCTTCTCTCAAAGCCCTCTTCAGCACAGGCTTCCCACAACTTGTGTGGCCCTCAATATATCCCTGTAAGCCTGGCTTGAGGGGTTGTTGCCAAAAGACCTTTATTCTATTGTCAATTCTTCTGCTGTCAGAGTGGAAATTCAGAGAGCTGCAGTGCAAAAACAAATAGAACATGTAAACTTACCTAGAGAAAATCTAATTACTGTAAAAAGGAGAGTCAGATCATAACCAGAGTCCCAAAAAAAATCTTCGCCTTGTGGAGAAATTCTCCACCTGGGTCCAAAAGATGTAGAGGAGTTTTATGTTAAGAATCTGGGGTGCAGAGCTCTGGTCCTTTCCGTGGATTGCCAAAATGTGACCTATGAAAAGTTTGAGAGACATAGTTTCTGGATAATTAATCATTTTATTAATTATGCTAGAGGGTAATTAATAAAAGAGGTGTCAGGATACTATTAGGAGACCCCCTGTTTTCCAGAGCTAAGGCCCAGCAAGGAAGCTATGCCCTGAGCTTGGCATAACAACAATCCCCTGCGCTTGTAACTGCCAAATGATCATCTCTGTCTCTTGTTTGGTTATAAATTCTTCCCATATCCATAACTATGACAAGTAAGTTCTTCTTGCTTTGCTAATGATATCATCCTTGTTTAAATCATGTGTGCATTTTGACTTACATTGGTATACCTTGTGAGATGTTGGCCTACTCCTAATTTTTGCCAGACTGCTTTGCAATTTCCCAGGAGTTTTTATCAAATAGTGAGTTCTTGCCCCCAAAGCTTGGATCTTTGGGGTTTTGAGGCACTAGATTATTATGGTCATTTACTTTTATATTTTGTATTCTCCTAAGTATGGGAGAGAGGTATTAGACTAACTACCAACCTGAAGGTCTATAGAGCCATTGTGCTGACCTCATTGTTGTATGCCTGTGAAACCTAGACAGTCTACCAGCACCATGCCAGGAAATTGAGTTGCTTCCATTTGAATTGTCTTAGGAAGATTTTGAAGATTACCTGACAGGTTAAGATACTAGACACTGAGGTCCTTTCTCAAGCTAAACTGCCAAGCATTGAAACTCTGCTTCAGAGAGCACAACTCTGATGGGCTGGCCACACTGTTCGAATGTAAAACATACACTTGCCAAAAATACTATTTTATGGAGAGCTTGCACAGGACAAGTGTTTACATGGTGGTCAGAAGAAGTGATACAAGGACACTCTCAAGGTCTCTTAAGAACTTTGGAATTGAGGGGCAGCTAGGTGGCACAGTGAATAGAGCACTAGCCCTGGAGTCAGGAGGACCTGAGTTCAAATCTGGCCTCAGATACATAACATTCACTTATAGCTGGGTGACTCTGGGCAATCACTTAACCCTAATTGCCTCACCAAAAAAAAAAAAAAAAAGCAACTTTGGAATTGATTGTGTGAAATGGGAGACACTGGCACAAGATTGCCCAGCATGGCATGCCCTTATCAGAGAAGGTGCTGTGGAGCTTGTGGTGGCAGTGGAGACAGAATCTTCCTCATAGTTCCAAGGCAGAAAAGAGTGCTTTTGGTCACTCATAGACCGGAGCATAGGCCAGGAAAGGAGTAAGCACCTCACCATTGATCATACCACCTTGGAATAACTGAAAACTTACAGGTCCCTAGAAGTATCTCTGAAAACAGCTGCACAAAACTCCCAAAGCTTAGGACAGTACATTCTCCACACTAGACGCAGACCCTTACCTTAACAAAGGGTTTATAACTCAAGTAATTGGCTGGGATCATGAGCAAACTGCACAAAAAAAGTCAGACCATAGAATCTTTCTTTGGTGACAAAGAAGATCAAAACATACAACCAGAAGAAGACAACAAAGTCAAAGCTCCTACATCCAAAGCCTCCAAGAAAAATATGAATCAGTCCCAGGCCATGGAAGAGCTCAAAAAGGATTTTGAGAAGCAAGTAAGAGAAGTAGAGGAAAACTGGGAAGAGAAATGAGAGTGATGCAAGAAAATCATGAAAAACAAGTCAACAGCTTGCTAAAGGAGACCCAAAAAATACTGAAGAAAATAACACCTTAAAAAATAGCCTAACCCAAATGGCAAAAGAGGTCCAAAAAGCCAATGAGGAGAAGAATGCCTTAAAAAGCAGAATTGGCCAAATGGAAAAGGAAGTCCAAAAGCTCACTGAAGAAAATACTTCCTTAAAAATTAGAATGGAGCAATTGGAAGCTAGTGACTTTATGAGAAATCAAGACATTGTAAAACAAAACCAAAAGAATGAAAAAATAGAAGACAATGTGAAATATCTCATTGGAAAAACAACTGACCTGGAAAATAGATCCAGGAAAGATCATTTAAAAATTACTGGACTATCTGAAAGCCATGATCAAAAAAAGTGCCTAGACATCATCTTTCAAGAAATTATCAAGGAAAACCGCCCTGATTTTCTAGAACCAGAGGGTAAAATAGAAAGGGAGAGAATTCACCACTGATCACTTCCTGAGATTCCCCAAAGGAAAACTGCCAGGAATATTGTAGTGAAATTCTAGAGGTCCTGGGTCAAGGAGAAATATTGCAAGCAGCCAGAAAGAAACAATTCAAGTATTGTGAAAACATGATCAGAATAACACAGGATTTAGCAGCTTCTACATTAAGGAACCACAGTGCTTGGAAAGTGATATTCCAGGGGCGGGGAGAAAGGAGATAGGATTATAGTCAAGAATCACCTGCCCAGCAAAACAGTATAATCCTTCAGAGGAAAAAATGGATATTCAATGTAATAGAGGACTTTGAAGCATTCTTGATGAAAAGACCAGAGCTGAATAGAAAATTTGACTTTCAAATACAAGACTCGAGACAAGCATGAACAGATAAATAGAAAAGAGAAATCATAAGGGACTTATTAAAATTGAACAGTTTACATTCGGAGCAAGTTGAATCTGAAGGGATGACATCTAAAAAGTAAAATTAAGGGATGAGAGAGGATTGTAGGAGAAGGAGAAAAGGAGAGGTAGAATGGGGGTAGATTATCTCACATAAAAGAGGCAAGAAAAAGCTTTTACAGTGGAGAGGAATGGGGGAAGTGAGAGGGAATGAGTGAATTTTACTCTCATTGGATTTGGCTTAAGGAGGGAATAACATACACACTCAATTGGGTATGGAAATCTGTCTTGCCCTACAGGAAAATGGGGGGAAGGAGATGAGAAAGGAGGATGATAGAAGGGAGGGCATATTAGGGGAGGGGGTAATCAGACACTAACACTTTTGAGGAGGGACAAGGTCAAAGGAGGGAATAGAATACACAGGGCAGGATAGGATGGAGGGGAAATATAGTTAAGACTTTCACAACATTATTATGGAATTGTTTTACATGACTACACATGTATAACCTATTAAATTGCTTGCCCTCTCAATGAGGTTGTGTGGGGAGGGAGGAAGGGAGAGAATTTAGAACTCAAAGTTTTAAAAACTAATGCTAAAAGTTGTTTTTACATGCAACTGGGAAATAAGATATACAGGCAATGGGGTATAGAAATCTATCCTGCTATACAGGAAAATAGAATGGGGTGTGTGTGATAAAAGGGAGGGCAGATTGGAGGAAGGGGTTTTCAGAATGTACATCATCTTGGGGTGAGGGGAGGGGAAAGATGAAGAAAAATTGGAACTCAAAATCTCGTGGAAGTGAATGTTGAAAACTAAAAATAAATAAATTACATCAGATTTGAACTCTGGTCTGCCTGACTCCAGGTCCTTCCTGCTCTGTCCACTGCACCACTAAGTTGCTATTGAATGGGATGTCCCAGTGAAGACTTCTCAGTGTAATTAAGGTAATGAGTTCAGAAGGTAGTGTGAAAAATGAATTCTCAGAAGTGAAGGCTCCTCAAAGGGTCAAATAATTCTTGATTATTACTTTCAAAATCCTCCCCCCACTCAGACCCTGTTTTTAAGCAGCTAACAGAAAGAATAAGCCCTGCCCCACTCCCAACCTGAGCTTCCGGCCTCTTTCCTTGTCTTTGAATTTCGGGCCGGAATGTAAGCCTCACCTCCCAGTTAAGAGGATAGGAAGAAACTTTGGAGTTTAGAATGTAAGCCCACCCCCAGTTTAAGGGGGTAAGGGATAGTGGTGGGTGGAAACTTGTTTGCATGGTGGGTGAAGGCTTGTCTGTGTGGTGGGCAGAGATTTGCTTTCATAAGGCGGCCCCTGTTACTCTGTCGCTCTCTCTCTCTCTCTCTCTCTCTCTCTCTCTCTCTCTCTCTCTCTCTCTCTCCATGTGTAACAGAGGAGCAGACAGCCATCTCGGGAGATTGTAATAAAGGTAACCTTTGCTTTCCACTTTGAGAAGTCTCTGAGTTTAATTTGGGTTGGGGTCGCTGTCCCACACACTATCATAAGGAAGGAGTGCTCATGGAGTTTAAGTACATTCACAAAGTCACACTGACAGGAGCCAAACTGAAGCTCACAAACTAGGTGTCACCCTCAACTCCTGACTCTTACCCTCTCCCCACCCCATGTTCATTCTGCAGCCAAGTCCTGCCATTTCTCTGTAACATCTTTCTTATACACCCCCCTTTCTCTTCTGCCAATGCTACCCTGCTGGTCCCTGCCCTCATCACCTCACGCCCAGGCTATTGCAAAAGCCTTCTGATCAGTCTCCCCGCCAGAAGTCTCTCCCCACAGCTGTTAAAGTCCTCCTCTCAGCTGTTAAATGGATCCTCCTCTATCTCTGGTCTGGTCATGTTAGCTCCCTAGTCATTAAACCCCATTGGTTCTGCATTCCAGAATCAAATATAAAATCCTACTAGGTTTTCTAAACCCTTCCTTAAGTCGCTCTCTCCTACCTGTCCAGTCTTTGTGGACTTTATGCACTACCCTAGCATTGCAACACTCCATCCCTGGACTCCAAGCATCTCCACTAGGTGTTCCGCATGCCTGGAACCCTCTCATTCCTCCTGCTCATCTCCTGGTTTCCCTGGCTTCCTTCAGGTCCCACCTAAAATCTCATCTCCCTTCAGCAAGTCTTTCCTCATCCACCTTAATCCTTGAACTGACCTTCTGCTGATTAACTCCAATTTATCCTGTCTGTATCTTATTTTTACATAATTGGTTCCCTGTTGTTGTCTCCCCCACTGACTGAGCTACTTGAGAGCAGAGAATGATTTTCCCTTTATATTGCCATCACTTAGCACAGTGCCTGGCATATAGAGGGTGTTTAATAAATGCTTGTTGACTTCCCTTGAATAACAGTGAATACATGAGCATATGGGTGGAAAGTTGCTAGGCTTGGATAAAAATAAATCAGCATTTGTCATTCTCAATTAAAAAATAAACCAGAGTTTTGTTTCTCCAATGTGAACTCGGGAGAGGGAGTGAAGAATTCTGGATAGATTTGGAATATCTATGAATCCCATTTGTTTATCTCTCTCACACCCAAATCCCCTATCAAGATTACTTTCTCAGCTCTCTGCCCAGCCTGGTTTGGAGGAATGAATGTATGAATTAGGTGGGGACCAGGATGGGTGTGGGGATTAGAGCCAGCTGAGCTCAGTCCTAACCAGACAGCAATCACTGCTCTGACCTAAGGTTAAGCAGCTGTGCCCTGAGCTAAGGCAGCCAAACTTTCCTTGGAGATTTTTGTTCAGAGCTGGAGCACTGTGAGAGGCCAGCTGTAATGGTGTTGATAGTAGTACAGTCCAGCTTCTTCAGCCTCCACACTGCTGATCATGAGAGTGGACTCTGTCCCAGACCCACTGCCACTGAACCACGCAGGGACCCCAGAATGCAGGACGGCAGCAGCACAGATCAGGAGCATGGGAGACTGTCCTGGTGTCTGTTGACACCAGGCTGAATTATTGCTAGCACCCTGACAGGCTCTGCAAGACGTAGTGACTTTCTCTCTTGGACAAGCAGACAGGGAAGCTGGAGTGTGAGTCATTGCAATCTGCCCTGTGGTATCTGTAAAGAAAAAGGAAAGCCAGGAGTTACCAAGAGTTAGCCGGCTTTCACTCTACTGAGCCGGATAAAACCAGCTAGATTGGCATTACTGGTACTGGACACTTTAATAAACAAGAATATTTTAAAATCTCATTGCATATATTCTGAATTATCTAAGATGAAAACACAAGCATATTAATGATCTCGTGGGCTCTCTGTGCGTTCTCTCTGTGCGTTCTCTCCTTCCTCACCTGGGAGCCAGAGCAGTAAGAGGAGGCAGAGGGGCTGATCCAGGGACACCATCTCTGTGCTGTGTTCTCTCTGGGCAGGGCAGTGACAGGCCCCACTGATAAGGGCTCTGAGCACAAGGAACAGGCTGTGGGTTGGGGAGAAGATGCAAAGTGGCTTGTACTCTGGGCTTACATCTCTGGGGGCTGGTTAGTTTCTGGGGCTAATGACATGGTCAGTTCCTCTTCAGTCTTCCAGTTAGAAGAGGCAGGCACATTCAGCCTCAAAGCTATTTGTCTCCCCTGATTATCAAGGGGCCAGAATTGCCTCATTGTCTGCTCAGACTCAGGAAATGATAGTTATATAAATGTTATAGAAGAGGGGAGAAAACATTCTATGGGTCTTTTCATCCATCCCTTTCCTGATCTGGCCTCTCCTCCAGCTAACCTCGCATATGCATTGTGTCTTAAATACACCTCAAGCATTCCTACTTCTCTTTTACTCACTTCCACAGATTAACCTTATGTTTTCATAGAAATACTTCTAAGGCATACAAAATTTAAACAACGTCCCTATAAAGTTGGCACTTTAGGAAAACACAACAAAGTAAACCAAATACCAAAGAAGTTCTTTCTATCTATAGACCCTGTGCTCAGCTATAAGAAGGATATTCGGTTTCTTCCAGGAACCTACTTTGATGCCTACCTCAACTATCCAACTGCCTCATCAGCTTCCATCCTAGATGCACTCAAGGGGTGCATATATTCCTCACTCTGGGCAAGACTGACATTGAAGGGCAAGTACTTTCAAGAAAAACTGCCCATGGGAATGACAAGAGCCTGTGTTTCCCTAGCATGGGCATCCCTGAGCTCCACTATGGATTATTATCTCTGTTAGATATTTGAACAGGGAATTCAGGAGAGTCGAGGCATCAGAACTCAGGTTTTGCTGTCCAAGTATCCCTCTCCTACTTCCTCAGATAGACTTGACTATGGCTAGTTATCAGCAGTCAGGCATCCCAATGAAAGAGGAGTGGCAAGCTGCTCTCTGAATTTCTGTTCTGAGACAAGGTGAAAAAAAGCAAAACCTGCCTTGTTAAGTAGCTTACACTATCCAGAAGAACAATTTCACAAAAGGAAGGATAGAGCTGGAAAAGGCTCTAGAGATCTTCTAGTGCTACATCTTTATTTTACTGAAAAGTAAACTGAGGCTCAGAGAGCTTAACTAGCTCCACTATGGCCACACCTGAGATGTAAATAACTGAGAGGAACTCAATTTTTAGCAGTCTTTTATTTTTTTAATTCTGAATTTAACACAGAATAATATTAATATGTTTCAACAGTAGAAAACCAAGAGGATTATACATGAGATTGTTAATCAGTTATTTTTTTAATTGTTAGGCAATTGGGGTTAAGTGGCTTGCCCAGGGTCACACAGCTAATAAGTGTCAAGTGTTTGGTCTGAGGCAGGATTTGAACTCAGGTCCTCCTGACTTTAGGGCCAGTGCTCTGTCCACTGTGCCACCTAGCTGCCCCTGATGTAGTCCTGCTGACACCATCATTCTCCACACTGTTAGTAGGGGAGTGAAATCTGTTGTGGAACCATAGCCACTGACTGAGGCAGGCAGGGACCTCAGATTCAGCAGCATTCACTAATGGCACAGGAAGTTCCTAAGACATTGGGAAGGCAGACAGTGGGGGTAACTGAGAACTAGGGTTTGATGAGGCATCACTTATAACAGGACAAGGGGGCAAGGGATTCCAGGTGATAAGACAATGTAGAGATGAAGTGATTACCTATGGGGTCAGACTATGAGGGGAGCAAAGTGAACCCAGAGTCAGGGTAATGAACTGGGCAAACAGAGAAGGATTGAAGAAGTTGAGTTCATGGTAAGAAAAAAGAATAAGTAGATATGGACCCGTGAGGCAGAAGGAGAGATAAGAATATTCTATTTCACTTTGTCTATCCTATTTCACTTGTCAGTCCCATTTTATCAAGTCTCAGTCATGCTTATAAGGTTGAAATTTGCCTGCTTGTCTTAACACCTCTTGTTTCCCTTGCTTGCCCAAAGTGTGCTTTGTATACTTATGTAGGCACAGTTCAGGCTGTGGGTTTCTTTGCTGGATCCCCCACTGCCATTCCTTTGAATTTATTTTTCCCACTTATTCTCTTTATGTTTATATTGTATGTAATGGTAGCATACACCTATTCCATTTTAGGAGGTCTGGACATGCTCTTGACCAGGGATGGGAAACCTGTGGCCTTCTAGGTCCTCAAGTGTGGTCCTTTGACTGAATCCACACTTCACAGAACAAATCTCATTAATAAAAGGATTTGTTCTGTAAAACTTGGACTCAGTCAAAAGGCTGTGCCCAAGGACCTGGAGGGTCACATGTAGCCTTGAGGCTGCAGGTTCCCTACCCCTGCTCTAGACCCTCAGTATAGAAGTTTTTAATGTAAAATTTCAGGGTTTTTTTTCAGTTTTACTTTTAGCAATCATTTTTTCTTCTCTGTCCTCCTCCTCTCTCCCACATTGAACAAAAGACAAGAAAAATAAAACCTTCATAACACATAGCTAAAGTTTAGCAAAATAAATTTTCACTCATTCTGCATTTTACATTCATCATCTCCCTGAAAGAAGATGGGTAGCATGCTTATCTTCAGTCCTCTTGAATCATGAGACAATAGGGAAATGGGTTTAGGGCAATAATTTACAAAAGAGTTGTCCATCTCTATGAGTGTAGGTAACCTCCAAATTGTGACTTCCTCATAAGGATGAAATCACAGGTCTAGATCAAGACAGATACACAGGCAATCTCTCTTCTTTCCAGTACATTCTCTATATAATTAGCAAATTGATATTCCTAAATCATAGTTCAGACTATGTCATTCTATTCTAGGGCTTCAGTAGCTTTCCAGCAGATTCTAGGATAAAACATTAACTCCTCTGTTAAAGCCCACCACGACGTGACTCCAGTCTGTCTTTAAAAGCTGATTATATATTGCCTGTCTGCCAAGAGGTTCGAAGATGCCTCAAAATCTTTGAAAAGGGGGTGGAGAGCAGCAGCTCCAGACACTGAGCCCAATAGGACACTTGTGGTTGAGCTGATGGGCATGCTAGAACAATGGGTTTTTAAGTGATAATTTGTAGACCATTTAAGGCAGAAAAGACCAGGTGACTTTCTTCTAGAATTGGTCAAGTGACTGCAAAGCCAGCTTCTTGCTAGTGTGTTCTTCTGTTACCGTGGAGCCCAAGCTTGGCCCTCCACAAACTGGCCCTCATTGCACTTAGCACCCATCTGGCTACAACTGGCACACAGATTAGTGAGTTCATGGAGGGAGGCACTAATCTTAGGCTTTTCCTCTCTGCTACAGAAAGACCCAAGTCATAGAGTTCAATAATCTGTTCCATGTTGTGGGTGAATCACAATCTTTTTTTTTTAACCATTCTTAGTGAAAAATTATTTATTTTTAAGATTCTTTTTACAAATTTTAAGTTCCAAATTTTCTCCCTCCCTCCAGCTCATCCCCCATTGAAAGATAAGCAATATATCAATTACACATGTGAAATATTGCAAAAATATATCCATATTAGCCATGTCACAAAAAGCAAGAAAAATAAAGAAAATGAAAAAATTAATTTACACCAAGTTCACTAAAAAATCAATTTACACTGAGTTCACTATTTCTTTCTCTGAAGGTGAATAGCATTTTTTTTTATCATGAGTCCTTTGAAATTGTCTTAAATTACTGTTTTGACCAGAGTAGCTAAGTGTTTCATAATGAATCATCATTACAATATTGTTGTAACAGTACACAATGCTCTCCCAATTTTGCTCACTTCATTTTGCCTCAATTCATATAGGTGTCCCCAAGTTTTTCTGAAACCATCCTCATCATGTCTTATAGCATAAGAGTATTCTGTCACAATCATATACCACAACTTGTTCAGCCATTTGCCAATTGACGAGCATCCCCACAATTTCCAATTCTTTGCCCCTACAAAGAATTACTATAAATATTTTTGTACATATGGTTCATTTTCCTTTGATCTCTTTGTGATATAGAGCTAGTATTGGTATTACTAGGTCAAAGGATACATGGCAGTTTTATAGCCCTTTGGGCATAGTTCCAAATTGTTCTCCAAAATGGTCGGACCACGAAGAACTCCACCAAAATCGCATTAGTGTCCCTATTTTTCACATCTCCTCTAGAATTTATCCTTTTCTTTTTCCGTTATGTGAGGCAATCCAATAGGTGTGAGGGGGTACCTCAGAGTTGTTTTCATTTGCCTTCTCTAATCAATAGTGACTCAGCATTTTTTTTTTCATATGACAATTGATAGCCTTGGTTTTTTCTTCTGAAAACTCCTTCTTCATATCCCTTGACCACAATGGGATTTCCATTGTGGTCAAGTGAATCTTGTTCACCCTTTTATGTCATTAATTAGATGATGAGACATTTGGCTACCTTAAGAGTTATAATTACTCCTACCATTTACCTGCCTAAAATGTTCACTTTTGATTACTGCACATTAGAGAAAGAATGGTCATTGAACAATCTCACCCAAAACAAATGAACTATGTGATGCTGGGCAGTTCTGACTGGACATGCTCACCACTCCTTAAAGGACCCACCTCTGACTTCTGTTCTAACTATATCCTCCTCTTCTGCTCCTCCACCATATTCTTCTTCAACTATAGTAAGAGATCTAACCACTTTCAAACAAGGACTAGCTGCAGCTAGTTTTTCTCTAACCTAGTCTAAAAGTATGATACCCTTAAGATGCTATCTTTTTACACTAGCAATTGCCCAATATGAAGGAAGAGATAAAGAAAAGAGGAAACCTAGGTAGAAAACTCAGGAAATCTTGGTCACTGTTCAAATACCTCCAGCTCCTTTTTGAGCCTTACCACAAGACCTCAGGGAATGGGCACCCTTTTATTGCCTCAAAAAGGGGAGAGGCATTTTAGTAGAGATGGCACAAAGGAAAAAGGGGACTTACAGAATAAGGATAAAAATGGGATGCTGGGAGGATCTAAACAGAAATTTACAGCATGAGATCATAGGGGTGTCTGTCACATCTGTACTTGGGGCTAATCTATGCTGGCAGGTGTTTCCTGATTCAGTTTTCTCTCCAAGTTATCAACAAACTGTTCCACTCAGAGAAGCACTCTAATGTATTAACATTAAGTCTTCTAGTAGTCATCTTGCCTTGGGACTGCCGCTTTTGTTGAATGTGAACATTAAGCTTGGAGAAGCTTGGAGAGGGTAAGTCTATGATCAGTCCAGCACTCTGCACAACACATCACCTTTGTCACTGTCACATCCTGTCTATTCTCCTTACAATGACATAATCTATTAAATGCCAATGTTTGCTGTGAGGGTGCATCCACACAGTTTTAGTGCATTTAGTAAGTTGGTGATGAGAAGGTGAGATGCATGCCTTCAGTAGTAGGTGACTGTTGCTGCTGCTGTTTCTGACTCCATTCCTCCCAAGGACTCACTGCCATGTCTGGTAGTCTGTGCCTACTCTTGCATTAAAGTCACCCAGAATTATAAGCTTGTCCTCTTTTGGCACATGGATGATGAGGGTCTCCAGGTCTTCGTAAAAACTTTCTTTAACCTTATCAGGGTGTGTCATGGTGGGAGCATTGGCACTGATGATGGTGGCATGATGCTTTCCTGCGAGTGACAATCACATCATCATGAGTCTGTCATTTACTTCTTTGGGTAGACATACAATCTTCTTGACTAGATTAGTTTTGATTGCAAAATCTACACCAGCTTCACGGCACTCCCCTTCATGTGGCCATTCCAGAAAAATGTATATCTAGTTCTGATTTTAATAAGCTGGCCTTCATTTGCTAGCCTTGTTTCACTCAGGGCTGCTATTTGGATGTGATACCTGCTGAGTTCTCTCACAATAAGAGCTGTTCTTTCAGGTATACTGGATTTTGTGTTGTCCATAAGAGGGCAAATATTCCATGTGCCAATGGTGAACAGAATCATCTTTGCAAAATTTCTTGTACTTTTTGGGGTGTGTTTTGACCACAGAGTGGTCCTCACACCAGGAGGTGAGGAGTGCAGTCCTTAAAAAAGGATGCTCAGACACCCAAAGGCCTGTCATATCCCACTACTACTTCAGGCCAGTGAGAATGACCCTATAGCCTTGGACACTTGTGTGCAGGGTTGTGACTACAGCTCCCTGTACAGCATCTGTACCTCCTGCTTTGTTACTTGCCTGTCACCACAGGACTTTCAAGTAGGAAAAAGGTATGAGTGTTGTCTTTTAATTTGTGCATAAATTGGATCTAAATGAGGCAGAGTTGCTCCTAGTGGTCAGCCCCACTCTCTCTTCCCGATTCATCAGAGTCCAGTAGCAAGACAAAAGTGAAGACAACTAGAAATGGCTTGGAATGCAGTAGATGACCTTAATGTCTAACCAAACTCTAAGCTTTCCACAGCACCTGCTTTAGCCACCTTTGTGGCTGTTGGAACAAATCGTTCTCATCCACCCATTCCTCTGGGGGAAGTCTTCATATGCTTGGGGTAAACACCTCCCTAACTCACTTAAGGGTTTGAAACCGCTTGGTTGCCCTCAATCTGGTTTAACCCATCTGCCAAAATGGTTTACTGGAGTGTGGCCACTGTTCATGCTACGGCTTCTTGGAGCCACAGGTGGAGTTGGGTGAATCAGGTGGATGCCAAAGGTAGAAAGCGGCCCTGAAAAGAGCTTGGCAGCCCTCACACCGGAGGTATTAGTTTTCCCTGAACACGCCCTATACTCTAGGTTACTAGGGTATACAGGCACTTGAATATTGTATCTCCTCGAATACAAGTAATTTCTTCCTTTTGCATGTGCCATTGTCTCTGTAAGTCTAGCTTAAGGAAGGGAACTGCTCCAGACAGATTCTGTCAACATGCCAGCCATAGATAGTGAGACTTTAGTCACCAAAGCACTCCCAAGTCATGGGAACTTACTTCTGTTTGGCTATCACAAAATGAAGACGGAGAAAGCAGGGCAGACTTATTGCCTTTTGCTGGATCATTTGTAAGTCAACCAGAACCAGTAATAGTCAAACATCTCGTGGCTGGCCTTGTATAAATTGTCAAACTCTGTGATTATTGCTATCGTCCCACTGCTGATTTAATCCCAATGGATGATGAGCAATCCTAATTACATCAATTTGGCTTATACACAGTGATTCATTGGAGACACGTCTCCAAAGGATCAAAGGAAAGAATGAGAAATTGAAAACTGACACCCCACTTTATTTTGTATTATTTTAATAAGCCTTAGTCGATTTGTTGTGTTCATGATGAACCCACTATATATTGGTTAGCCCCCTCATTGTGCGAGTTTGAGCTCCCTTAAGCCTGTAACTTCAGTTGCCTATTATAAAATTTGAAAACTGATATTCCATGATTGATTGAGAATTGTATGTAATCAGTGTGTCTAATCAATATTTGCAAATCAAATTCAGACTTGATTGTGCAGATCCTATCAGGAAAATTGGTGAGACTGTTACTTCCCTATACCTATGAGCTATAATCCAACCACAAAATCCCAGTCAGTTACTTTGCCTAACTGTGAGGAGAGATAAATTAATCTGATCACAGGATGTTTGCCCACTAGGGGCTTTTCTAGGGGATGTGAGTCAATCTGGTGATAAGCTATACCTATCACAGGATTCTCAAGAGAGTGTTAGTCAATTCTGTTTGGGTTTTTTCCCCTGTTGCCCTGGGTTATGGAAGGGTTATGTAAACCCTCCCTGCGTCTCTGGGTTAAGCCAATCACAGTCTCAGATGTCATTTGTATCACTGGACAATTTTTGTAACCTAGATAACCTGTACCTTTTCAACTGTACAAGAACTGCTCTGTCAGATGGATCCTTGACTACTGAGGGGTCTTGGATCCAATTTATTGGTATTTATTAGCCCAGAACTTTGTGCCCCAATTTCTCTTTATCAAAGATTTTTATCTCAACAATGGAAGGCCTACCCACACTATTCTTTCATGAGGAATCCTTCCAGTATGAATTCTCTCATGGTAAATTGTATCATCAGCTTGAAGGTCTTCCCACATTCATGAATGTTTCGATGTTGAATAAGATCTCAACTATAGTGAAAAGTCTTCCTATACTCCTTAGACTCTATTTGAGCAATGCATCAGGTGGAGTAGGATCCAGTCAGAAAATGTGGATAGTGATACACAGCTCCAGGCAGCCCTATGTCTCAGAGCATTGCCCTGAAATTACAGTTGGCCTTCATGGACATCACGCCTAAAGTCCAAGGTCTCCCAAGTGTCATACAAGACAAGCTCCAACAGGCCCGTTATGACATACAAGAGCTTCATACAACCTTTTTCCTAACTAATGGGTTTGAAGAGCTAGACAAGCATCATCTGACCCAGAGCCAATTTAGGCTGACCCAAGCCCAGGGAAGTACAGAAAAATTGTTTTGTTTCTTAGAAGGTAGTATTCTTTCTAGTTGGATTGTAGGACCACTTTTCCCCTCTCAATATCCCTTCCAGAGGTAATAGAACTCCCTAAAGAAAAAAAAATCTTGCATTGTGATATGGAATGATACTTCTAAATTCCGGGCAGTCTGGTGCTAGTTTATAGTTACTTTTTGGATTATGAAAATAAAATTGCATTGAAAAATTTAAAAAAAAATCCCTATCACTGCCTTGTTGTGGAGGAGGGTTTTGCATAGCTTGATGAAACTGTAAGGTATGTAATGCAGAGTTATCCAAGATGGGCAGGTTGCAGTGGAGAATTCTGACAAAAGATGATCCGTTGGAGAACGAAATGTCAGACTACTCCAGGATTTTCGCCAAGAAAACCTCGTGGACAGTACTAAAATGATAAAAATGAGGAAATCGTAAGAGATGAACCCTCACGTCAGAAGGTATCCCAAATTCTACTGGGGAAAAGTGGAGGACAACTAAAAGTAGCTCCAGTACTACATGAAGCAGCCGGCCAAAGCTGAAAGAAAACTCAGCTGTGGATATGTCTGGTGATGAAAAGAAAGTCCGATGTTGTAAAGATCAACATTGTATAGGACCCTGGAATGCAAGACCTATGTACCAAGGTAAGTTGGATGTGGTCAAACAGGAAATGGAAAGATTAAACATCCACCACCCTGAGTGTTGGTGAAGTTAAATGGGAAGGAATTGAGTGAATTTAATTCAGGTGACTGTGGGTAGTAATATGGATTAGTTCTATGTTCTATATGCATCAATTCTACATTGATCAGTTCTATGAAGACCCACATATCACTTAGAAATAACACTAATAAAACACATCACATTTCTCAAAGGAAATTGGAATGCTAAAGTAGGAAATCAAAAGATAATTGGAGTAACATGCAAGTTTGGCCTTGGGGTACAATATGAAGCAGGGCAGAGACTAATAGATTTTTGGTAAGATAACTTACTGGTCATAGCAAATGCTTTTATTTTTCAACAACCCAAAAGATGACATCACTAGATGGTCAATACGGAAATCAAACTGATTATATGCTTTGCAGTCAAAGGTGGAGAAGCTCTATACAGTCAGTTAAAACAAGACCTAGAGTTGACTGTGGCTCAGATCATGAATTTTTTTTTTTTTGGCTTTTTGGTGAGGCAATCAGGGTCAAGTGATTTACCCAGCATCACACAGCTAGTAAGTGTCGTGTCTGAGGCCAGATTTGAACTCAGGAACTCCTGACTCCAAGGCTGGAGCTCTATCCACTGTGCCACTTAGTTGCCCCAGATCATGAACTTCTTATTGCAAAATTCAGACTTAAATTGAAGAAAGTAGGAAAAACCATCAGTCCATAAAAGTATGACCCAAATAACATCCCTTATGAAGTAGAAAAGATGAACAGATTCAACACATTAAATCTTGTAGGGTGCCTGAAGAATTATGGTTTGCAATATCATATAGGAGGAAGCAACAAAAAACATTTCATAAAAAAAAAAAAGCAAGAAAGCCAAATGGCTGTCTGATGAGGCTGCACAAATAGCTGAGGAAAGAAAGTGAAAGTAAAGGAGAAAGAGACAAATATACCCAATTGAATGCAGAATTCCAGAGAATAACAAGGAGAGCTAAGATTTTTCTTTAATTAGTGGTGCAAAGAAATAGAAGAAAACAACAAAATGGGAAAGACAAGAGATCTCTTCATTAAAACTAGATATCAAGGGAAAGTTTTATGCAAAAATGGGCATGATAAAAGACCAAAAGAGTAGGGATTTGGGGTAGCTAGGTACAGACACATAACACTTATTAGTTGTGTGACTCTGGGCAAGTCCCTTAACCCCAACTGCCTTGCTCCACCCCGCCTTCCCCAAAAAGAGTAAAGATTTAACAGAAGTAGAAGAGATTAAGAAGTGACAAGAATACACAAAAAAAACTACACATGAAACTTCTTAACATCACCAATAACCATGATGGTACAGCTCCTAATCTAGAGGAAGACGTCCTGGAGAATGAAGGCAAGTGGGTCTTAAGCACTGCTCCCTTTGACCCAGCACTAGCACTTCTAGGTCTGCATCCCAAAGAGATCATAAAAACAGGAAAAGGACCCACATGTACAAAAATATTTATAGCAGCTCTTTCTGTGGTGGCAAGGAATTGGAAATTGAGGGGATGCCCATGAAGTTGGGAATGGCTGAACAAGTTGTGGTATATGAATGTAATGAAATACTATTGTACTTTAGGAAATGATGAGCAGGCAGACTTCAGGAAAATCTGAAAAGACTTGTATGGACTGATGCTGAGTGAAATGAGCAGAACCAGGAGAACATTGTACACAGTAACAGCCACATTATGTGATGACTGACTTTGATAGACTTAGCTCTTCTCACCAATGCAAGGATCTAAGACAACCCCAAAAGACTCATGATGGAAAATGCCATCCACATACAGAGACAAAACTATGGAGTCTGAATGCAGATAAAAGCATACTATTTGCTCTTTTTTTTGTTGTTTTGTTTCTTCTTTCTCATTGTTCCTCCATTAGTTCTAATTCTTCTTTTTGCATCAAGACTAATGTGAAAATATATTTAATATGAATGTATAAGCAGAGCCTATATCAGATTGCATGCCATCTTGGGGAAGGGGAGAAAATTTAAAACTCAAAGTCTTATGGAAGTGAATGTTAAAAACAAAAAATAAATAATCATATTAAGAATAATAAAATAATTTTATACTAAAAAAGCATTGTTAAAAATAAGGCTAGTGGAGATGATGGAATTCTGAGTTATTTAAAATCCTAAAGATGATGCTGTTAAAATGCTGCACTCAGTATACCAACAAAATTGGAAAACTCAACAGTGGCCACTGGATTCGTAAAGATCAGTTTATTTACCAATCCTAAAGAAAGGTGGTGCCAAGGAATTGTGTTCATTTCATATGCCTGTAAAGTTATGCTTAAGATTCTGCAAGCTAGGCTTCAGCAACATATGAACTAAGAATTACCAGAGAGCAGGCTGGTTTTCCAAAAGGCAGAGGAACTAAAGACCAAATTGCTAACATGTATTGGATTATGGAGAAAGAGTTCCAGAAGACCTCACTTCTGTTTCACTGACTGCACTAAAGCCGTTGACTGTGTGGATCACAACAAAATGTGGTGAGTCTTCCAAATGATGGGAGCATCAAGTCATCTTATTTGTCTCCTGAAGAACTTGTATGTGGGCCAGGAAGAGACAGGTAAAACCTAATAGGCAACAACTGATTGGTTTAAGATTAGAAAAGGAATATATCATTGGAGATTTTAGTTCCTTTTGAATACTGTCAAATTATTAACTAAATTACTGGAAGGTTTTTGTCATAATGTTAAAAACCAATAAAGCATTTAACTGGATATATTTTAAAAGGGTAGAATAATAATTGCTTACTTTTTAGAAAAGGAGAATTGGGATAAAGACTTTGTAAAAATCTCTGTATGTGTAAGCCTGCTAAGTTTCTTCATCAAGGTCAGAAAAACCTTATTAGCCCTCTGAAAGAATTTGTGTATTAGTTTATTTAGACTTATTTGACCTACCACCCTCCTTTAAAAAAAATTATTTATCACTCCCCTGGAAATCTACTTTTTTTAATCCTTTGATAGTTTTGTTTTTTGAAATCTGTCATTTCAAATACATACATATATATATATATATATATATATGTATATATGTATATATACACACACACACATATATATTAGAAAAATGATGCCTCTTAAATTTAATAATTATAAATTTGTGGTTTTTTTCCTGCTTTGACATTTTGATGATGTATTATTACATCATATAATCACATAGTATCATAAATAAGTCATTCCACGTGCATATTTCTGCTGATGCAGGGACTTCCCAATAATGCATGACGTACTTACCTGCCAACACTTGCTTGTTAAGACCTGTCAGTGGACTTGACCACTGATTGGTTATAACTTGCATTTTGTGTATTTATTTGGAAAATAATGTAGTTAATATCACTGTAACTCTGATATACAACAGATGAAACACGTATAAATGATTTTTCAAACCTCTTCTTTCCTCATGCTTCCACTGCCCCCTTATTTTTATTCAACACCCCCCACTTGCACTAGAAGCTACTACTGCCTCCCTGGATAGTTTCAGCACCCCCCTCAGGGGGTGGTATTGCCCACTTTGTGAACTATGGAGACAGCAGGCCTGCCCTCTCCCATTACAAACACAAATATGTGGGGAAAATTTTTTGAAAGTGCATTTATAGTATAGGCATATTTTATGTGATGACTTCTGGTTGTAATCATGCAGTTATACTTGGAATAGTCTGTACTGAAGCCGCATCTTGTACCACCTTAGTCTTGACAGACTCTAGTCTTGACTTATTTTTGCTTTAAAAGGGTTAATATACAATATGTTAAAAAGTTTTGCGTCAAGATGAATTTTAAGTTGTACCTGAGAAAGGGAAATAGGATAATGTTGACTAAAATCTTTTGTGTAACTTTTTTTTAGCCCTGATAAATTCTTATTTGCTAATTTATTGCAACTATGTGAGAATGTTGATAACTATATCTATTCCTAAGCATGATTTATGAGACTTTTTATGTGAGGTAAAATCCCATGGGACTACAATCTGATATTATTCCGAGTTTTGATTTTAGGTATGCCTGTCTGAAGTCACTAGTCAAATGCTAGCAGCTCAATGAGAATGAGGTCTGTGATCTACGGCCAATGGATCTGTCTCTGAGACAACGGCTGGGGGGAAGAAAGGGACACTGACCTTGGGAAGGCTAAGATAAAACATTCTTGACTGTTTCCTACAGAAGAACTCTTCCCATTTGTTAATTCAGAGCCTGCCTGTAGTATTGTGTTACACACTTTGCTGCTCATACAATTCTTACCTGAAATCAAATGGAACTGGCATACATGTGCTAGTCATTCTGCAACCTTCAGCTTTAGCTTGGAGTACCAGTATTGATACTGTTACCCTTTTTCCTTTCCTACCAAATCTCTTTAACCAAGAGCAAGTTAAGTTGTAATTTTTATGATCCTGTTGTAATACTATATCCTGAACAACTAAGTAGATATGTATTTGGGCTTGTCATCTGTTTGTTACATTTACACATTTATGTATAAGACAAGGTCCTTAAATTTTTCAAAATATTATGACAGTTAAACAATAGTGCAACAGTTTGGTGGGTCAAAATATTAATCTACTAATTAGTAAGATTAAGTCAGAAGCATTTTTTGTTTTTAAAGAAAAGAATTTCAGGGCAATCAGTTATCTTTGTGGCCAGTAACATGTGCTATCTTGTGTCAAAGGGAAAGTTAACTTTACTTAGGTTTATTATTTAATTTGGGATTGACAGCTGTGTGTGGATGTGGAGCACATCCTCAAGTGTGAATTTGCATTACTATGGACAATTCATTTGATGAGCAGTTTGCTGTACACAATTTGGAATTAGTTAGTATATTTACACATCTATCCCAGGACTTTTTGCTATAATTAGAGTACAACTTGCAACTTTTAGTTGCAAAATTCATCTGTGTACTGGAGGTCATCTATTGATGTAAGGTTTAGATTTTTATCAGTCTATTCCTCCTAAGGGGGGAACTGAATTGGAACTAACTGGAATTCTAGGAGGAAAAAAAAATCTGAATTGAAAGAGTTGGAGTTTTAAATGCAGTAAAAAAATTGAGCAAAAAATTTTGAGAAAGCAACAAGCATACATACACACACACACACACATATACATATATAATGTAAGAGGTTTTAAGACTTCGGCCTTCTTATAGTATTTTGTGTATTTAGCTTTTGATTTTTTAGTTTGTCTTTGAATTTCTTAAGTATATAAATGTAACAATTTGGTAACTTACCCTGTAGGAAGGTAAATGATAGTGGAGTCAAGTGCTAACTTAGACAAGCACTCTTAGCTCTAGCTTATATGTCTACTTTGGCAAATATTAAATCTTTAACCAGAAGGACTTATTTTCAAGTCAGATTTTCAAATTTTTAAAAAAGATTCTTCAGCCTCTTGATGGCAATGTTTATAGCAATTAAAAAATTTAGAAAAAGAGAAACAGCAAGGGGTAATTAAGAATTGGAATTCTCTGAAACCTCAAGTGAACTATGGGTTCTTAATTTAATATTACCACAACCACGAGGTTTGAAAAGTGGTTTTTGGAGAAGTAATAACAAAGAGGGCTTAGTAAAGTATATTGAGATTTGTTTTGTAAAAGATTTTAGCAGGAATACCAAAGAATCTACAAGTGATAGTGAACCAGAGAAGCAAGTATGTTGAAGAGAAGCCCTCTTCAGAGTTGCCCTGAGAAACGAGACCCAGTATGTCCAAGATAAGATGTTTCCACAGAACTAGACAGGTACGTGGGACATCTGAGATCCAAGATGAAATATGCTGATAAAACAGACACTGAGAGTGAGTTGTTATGATAGTATGCTACAGTGCTGTAAGACACGATGAGCAGGTTGGTCTCAGAAAAACATGGAAAGGTTTAATACAGTGACATGAGAAGAGCTAAGAGAACAATGGACATAGTAACAGCAATATTGTTTGAGGAATAACGGTGAACAACAAAGCTATTGTGAGTATTACAAATATTCAAATCAATTACCAAGGACCTATGAAGGAAGATGCCATCCACCTCCAAAGAAAGAAATGATAAACAGAAGTATGTATGGTATGGTTTTAACATATACATACACATATATGTGCATGTGCGTGTATGTGTGTGTGTGTGTGTGTGTGTGTGTGTGTGTGTAATGTTGTCCTCTACTGCAAGGTGGAGAGGAGGAAAGGAGATAGTTTGAAATTTAAAAAAAATAAACTTAATTTAAAAAAAGAGAGCAGATTACTGGCATACAAGAAGACTTGATATTAATTAATGTTGTTGATCACTACTGTATTGCTTTGGCTTTACTTATAATTTATGTTTGTTGAGTTTTCTTAGTTGCCTTGAGATACATAAATCTCCCTTCTAAATCCAGTCCATGGTTTTAGAAATTCCTATTATGGCTTGTGTTAAGATTAATCCATCTTGTTGCTCTTTTTCTTTTCTTTTCTTTTCTTTTTGGTGAGGCAATTGGGGTTAAGTGACTTGCCCAGGGTCACACAGCTAGTAAATGTCATGTGTCTGAGGCCACATTTGAACTCGGGTCCTCCTGACTCCAAGGCCGGAGCTTTATCCACTGTGCCACCTAGCTGCCCCCCTTGCTCTTTTTCAACTTTGATTAGTTCCTGTGTTAAAGCCTGTTCTGAGCTTCCATTGGAAAGGTTTGTGTTGGTACACCTACTGTTGATAATGATCGTTAAAGATCTCATAGGATTAGCTTATAGATAAGGGAACTATGAGAGATATTTATTTCTCATTGATCAAAGGGGAAGCAGAAGATTGAATTGATCCTGTATCATTTTCCTATTCATTTTATTCGCAATTTATTGCATTTGCCCTGTAAGTGCTTAAGTCATGGTTCTCTATCTCCAAACTTGGTTCAGAATCCAGTGGGATTGTAATGGGCCAAGTTTAGAAATCCAGCTCTCTTGCTTATCTATTCTTGCCTCAAGGAATTAGCTGACCTTCCAGAAGCATATGAACACAGAAGAATTGGGTATGGTATCTTTAAACCATCAATCTATCCTTCAAGGATGTTTGGTTTGCTGTCCTATATCTGAGCCATTATATTGTACCTGGACTCAAATAACATGCACTCCTGAGACTTGGGGGAGGGGGAGCATCATTGCTAGCCCCCATGACTACACTTCCAATCAATCACGTTGTTCCCCACACCTCAGCTCTGCTACTCTTAAGCCCATGTTGTCACCTACCCTGTTCTGTACTCCTCAAAACCTATAAAAGGGGAATTATCCCTTTGCTTCTGGTCTTTGGCATAAATGGAGGCAAGCCATTGACCCACTTATTGACAAGAAGCATGCCCCAGACAATAAATGTTATCTAGCTTGGGGAAATGCCTGTTTACCTTCTTGTTAAATTTCTTCTCTCGACAGATGTAAGGCCTTCCCACACTCTTTACATTCATGAGGAATCTCTCCAGTATGAATTCTGTGATGGACATAAGGTAGTGTCCTCAGTCTAAAGGCTTTCCCACATGCATTACACTCTTAAGGGTACTCTCCAGCATGAATTCTTTGATGTTGAGCAAGATGGGTCCTCAGTTTGAAGGTCTTCCCACATTTATTGCACTCATAAGGTCTCTCTCTAGTATGAATGCTCTGATGTTGAGTAAGTTGTGTCCTCTGTTTGAAGGTCTTCCCACATTCATTACATTCATAAGGTCTCTCTCCAGTATGAACTCTTTGATGTACAATAAGATCTGAATTGTAGTGGCAAGCCTTCCCACACTCCTTACATTCATAAAGAATCTCTCCAGTATGAATCCTCTGATGTACAGTAAGATGTGACTTCTTCCTGAAGGCCTTCCCACATTCACAACATTTATAAGGTTTCTCTCCAGTATGAATTCTTTGATGTTTAATAAGTTCTGAGTTGTAGAGGAAAGCCTTCCCACACTCCTTACATTCATGAGGAATCTCTCCAGTATGAATTCTCTGATGGACATAAAGTTGTGTCCTCTGTCTAAAGGACTTTCCACATGCATTACACTCATAAGGTTTCTCTCCAGTATGAATTCTTTGATGCTCAGTAAGTTTTGCCTTCCTCCTGAAGGCCTTTGCACATTCACTACATTCATAAGGTTTCTCTCCAGTATGGATTCTTTGATGTTTAATAAGATCTGAGTTGCGATGGAAGGCCTTCCCACAATCCTTACATTCATAAGGTTTCTCTCCTGTGTGAATCCTCTGATGCACAGTAAGTTGTGTCTTACTCCTGAAGGTCTTCCTACATTCATTACATTCATAAGGTTTCTCTCCAGTGTGAATTCTCTGATGCTCAGTAAAATATGCCTTCCTCCTGAAGGCCTTCCCACATTCATTACATTCATAAGGTCTCACTCCAGTATGAATGCTCTGATGTACAATAAGCTGGGGCTTCCTCCTGAAGGCCTTCCCACATTCACTGCATTCATAAGGCTTCTCTTCAGTGTGAATTCTTTGATGTCGAATAAGTCCTGAGTTGTAGTGGAAAGCCTTCCCACACTCCTTACATTTATAAAGAATTTCTCCGGTATGAATTCTCTGATGCACAGTAAGATATTCCTTCATCCTAAATGCCTTCCCACATTCACTACATTCATAAGGTTTTTCTCCAGTATGAATTCTCTGATGTACAGTAAGTTGTGGCTTCCTCCTGAAGGCCTTTCCACATTCACTACATTCATAAGGTTTCTCTCCATTATGAATTCTTTGGTGTTTAATACAATCTGAGTTCCAATGGAAGGCCTTCCCACACTCTTTACATTCATAAAGAATCTTTCCAGTATGAATTCTCTGATGTACAGTATGTTGCGTCTTATTCCTGAAGGCCTTCCCACACACACTACATTTATAAGGTTTCTCTCCAGGAAATTCTTCCCTCCCTGAAAAGAAGAATAAAGAGTTGATTAACCTTGCCTTTTCTTCCCTTTCCTAAGATTCCTACTTGCTCAAAGCTTTTAGAGCTATTCTCTTGTCTTCCCATTTCAGATGGATAGTCTCCCTGGTCTTTCAGTTTATCTTATGTGAAAGTGTGATGGGGGCAGCTAGGTGATGCAGTGGATAGAGCTCCTGCCTTGGAGTCAGGAGGACCTGAGTTCAAATCCAGCCTCAGACACATGATACTTACTAGCTGTGTGATCCTAGGCAAGTCACTTAACCCCAACTGCCTCACCAAAACAAACAACAAACAACAAAAAAAAGTGTGATGACTCAAAGTTAACATATGTAAATGAATTTGCTTGGGATGAAATTACCTGGAAGGATGAATAAGCCCTTACACAACTGTAAACGGCTGATATTCGAATGGAATAAGGAACTGAAAGACTATTCATAAAAAGAAAATGAACTTGAGAGTTTGCCAATATGTCCTTGTCATCTGAGGTTAAAGATAGGAAGGGAAAAACTGACCATAAAGAAAATGGAGAATCAATGAGTTTAGAGTAAGAAGAGATAGAAACATAAAGTAAACAGAATAATGAAGAAATATGAGAAAAGGGCATTATATCAGACAATCACTGCCAGAAACTTCTGCTAAAAATCCAACAATATCTATAATGTAAAGAATTGGTTCAAAATTCTAAGAGTAAGATCCCGTTCCAAAAAGGTAAATGATCAAGCCATACAGGTCTTTTTCACAAGAGCAATTATTGATAGTTACCTGAAACATTACTCAAACTCTGATAATCAAAGAACTAAAACTGAAAACAATTTAGAGTTATCACCAGATAGCAATCAGATCAACAAAGATACTTTAACAAATTTGTTATATTGAAAGGTAATTATGACATAAAATGAAAGGAAAATTAGGTTATGATTAAATATTTTAAAAAGAAAGAGCAGCAAAGCAACATCATAAAAACAATATAGAAGAAAATATTAGAAGGTGACACAGAAGCAAAATGCGCATATTGTTGATATTTAAGTAATGTGCTTATTTTAAGAGGGAAGACTAGTTGATGAAAGTGAGGCAGGAGAATGCCTGCTTATGATAATTTTCAATGAACAGAAGAGAAATTTAACTCCTATAACTGAGGCAACAACATTCTTTGAGAGTGGAGGTACATGTGAGTAAAGACATGCATAAAAAGGTAACTTTTTATCCACATCCAAAGAAATAACTTTGCAGATCAAAGCATACAATTTGCTATTTTTTTCTTCTGTTTTGTTTGGTTCCTCTTTATGGTGGTTCCTCCTATTGGTTCTAATTCATCCTTACAATGTGACTAATGTGAAAATATGTTTAATGGGAATGTATATGTATAGCCTATATCAGATTGCATGCCATCTTAGGGAGGGAGGGGGTGAGGGAGAGGGAGAAAAATTTAAAACTCAAAAGTTTATGGAAGTGATTATTGGTAAATCAAAATAAATTAAGAAAAAAATGAAATTTTTGAGTTAAAATATTAAGTTTTAAAGTCATAGCTCTTTTTGACAGCCCTGAGAAGCTTTAATACAACCACCTTGTTCAATATTTTTACAAGAGCTTTGATCTAAAATGGCCAACAGAGCTGTATCTGCAATGATCCATATCCTTCGTTTTTATGTAGTCACCTGGCCAGCTGCTTCTTAGAATATCTGGCTCTTGCATCCAAGTTGCTTCCTTTCTTTCCAACTGGTAGATTACATCTGGTTTGGAAATGCCAAATCCTGTTCGTTGTAAATGAAAAAAGTGATAGGGACAGTCATCTCAAAATTCCATCATAGAACAGACAGATGAAATGCTCCTTGCAACTCTTAGTAGAAAGGTGAGGGAACAAGGGTGCAGAATATATCTGATACCATGAAAGGCACTGTCTCTGTTAGCTAATTTTGTCTGAGATTTTTTTTTTTGTACCAGGAAGGGCTCAATGGGCTAATTGGAGGGAGAGTTAGGGTTGTTTTTCTTTATTTCGGTGAGAGGGAAAGAGGAAAAGTGACATTTTTAAAAAAGCATCCTCACATTATAATTTAAAAAAAGAATTTAAAACTAATTCAGGTTCTCTTTAGGGAAAAAAGTAGACATGCTAGTACTACTCCAATATAGGACAAAAGATCACCGAAGGATATTATGGGGATGGGGCAGCTAGGTGGCGCAGTGGGTTGAACACTGGCCCTGAAGTCAGGAGGACCTGAGTTCAAATCCAGCCTCAGACCAAACACTTGACACTTACTAGCTGTGTGACCCTGGGCAAGTCACTTAACCCCCATTGCCTAAAAAATTAAAATAATAAAAAAAATTTTAAAATTTTAAAAAGTATATTATGGGGAAATTGGTTACAGAATAGGACTTCATCTTCAATTTAAAGCAACAGAGAGGGGAAGACACATTCTCAAGGATAATAAAAAAAATCAAGAAGTCAGGTGGCAGGAATACTAAGCAAAGACCCTTTTCTTGAGAAACAGCACAAGTACCTTCTCTTGTTTACTAAAGGATTAGGAATACCTGCCTTTTGCACATCAAAGAATAACTGTTAAAATCTTGAAAGTCTCCATAGTACATATCAACACTCCAAAGGGGAAGCTGTTCTTACCCAAGGAGACCAAGTTCCTATAGTTCTCCAGCATCACATCCTTGTACAGTGTTTTCTGAGATGGGTTCAAATGTACCCACTCCTCCCAGGTGAATTCCACAGCCACATCCTTGAATGTTACTGTTTCCTGAAACACCAAAAATATGTGCTTACCAAAGTATAGCTTTAACTGTTATGAAGTCTGAAGTTATGAAGTAAACTCCTTGCCTATAGGGGTTGTTTCATTTATTTATTTGTAAACCAGTAAGAATTCCTCTCATTAGACTGCAAGTTCCTTGAGGGCAGGAGCTATTTTTTGCCTTCCTTTGTATCCTCAGCACTTAGCATAGTGCCTGGCAAACAGGCACTTAATTAGTGTTTTGGATTGTTAATGGATCCAAAGACAATCAATTTGAAATGTGTGTTTGTTTTTTACAAGGTTCACCTAGGGCTTCCATTGCTACCTTCAGAGCCTAAGTTGTAGAATGCCAAATTCCTTTTCTACTTGCTGAAATAAAACAATAACAATGAAATAACTGATGATCACTATCATGTAGCCCTAAATCTTCGCTTCCAGGACAAACACCCACAGTCCCTTCAACCAATCAGCCTGATCTCCTCAGCACTAGGACAGCAGTCTTCCCCTCCTCATCCAACGGCTGTGCTTCTTAAAATGCGGCGCTCTGAAATGAAAGCAATTGTGTTTGATGCTTTTGGAACCGAAACAGCAAAGGTGAGTGGAAGCAACTGCCAGCTCCTATCTGCAACACTATGTAAACATTTACAGTTGAAAAGGGAGTTAGAGGACCCTGACTTTCCAGTTCATATATTTAGAGTTAGAAGACACTTTAAAATCCAACTTTCTCATTTTACAAATTAGGGAAGTGAGGTACAGAGAGGAAAAGTAACTTGCATAAAGCTATAGGGGAGTAAACTGCAGATCTGCATTTTGAACTGAGAGAAATTAATATTATAACATTATATTAATAATTAATTATTAATAACGAACCACCCTTTTCCCTTAATTTTCTGTAAAGGCCCAACTCCTGTTAAGGTTTGTCAGTCTCTAAAGGACATGGCTTGTGTGGGATGCCACTCAAATTAAAAAAAAAACAAAACACAGAGGTGTCCAAGGAGAAACAGAAAGTTAATTTACTATTATTATTTCAAATCTCGAGATTTGGGTGTCCCTCCACCAGTATGTTCTGATGAGGGGAGACAAAGACACAGAAACAGAAAGCCAGGTTAAACAGCCCTAACGAATAAATTCCCCCTCTCGCTAGCTGTCCTTTAGCCAGGCCACCATGGCAGAAAGATGGTTTAAAACTGTTTTGGAAGGTCTGAGAGACTGGATAAGACAATGGGGATAGATAATGGAGGGAACTGGAAGGCATCTGAGTAAGGTCCTTTCAAAGGGAGATAAGGGGAGTAGATAAGGAACCTTTTAAGGGTTTTCTGGAGTCAGATTCTTTTTAGGGGCAAAGGTGCATCTGAATAAGATTAAAAAGTAGGCTAAGGCTTAACAACTAGAGAAATTTTAACTACTGATATATGGCACTAAAAAAAAAACCTTACAGAAATCTATACTTAACCCTATCCTACCTTCTGAACTCATTACCAGATTTAGGATAGTCTTACCCCAAAACCTTAATTACACTGAGAAGTCTTCACCAGGGACATCCCATACAGGCTGATTGATGAAATTGTTTCTAGCCTTCAATGAACATGATTTTCAGCAGGACATCACTCAACTAGGAGACCTAATTTCTGTTTACAGTATAAACAAAATCGAGTCTGGGCAAGTCCTTAACACCAGGGAAAGGAAGCCCTGTCCTTGATCTCCTCTATTAGAGTTTAGAGTGACCTAGCTTTTGAAGGAACAAACCAGTCAGACTTGGCTGGATGGAAACTGCTTCCCCAGCCCAGACTGCTGTAGGCTGCCGAGTATCATGATCAAGCTATGTTCTCAGCAGAAGGAGCTGAAGACCACCTCCTCATTAAATGTCTACCAATCAAGGCTGATTTCCACTTGTCAGGGGAATTCCCTTTCAGAAGGGATTTAAGGCATTGCAGGGTCTCCTTTAGGGTCTGTGATTATGAAGAGAAACCACTGACCATCAACTTCATTGATTGCTGGCTGGCCTAATTAATACATTGATTGTTAATTACCCAGAAACTCTTTCATTTGGAGTTTTCATTTGTCTCAGAGCCCAGGTCCTTCTGAATCCAAATCCAGAGCTATTTTCATTGTACCATGTTGCCATACTCTTTCTCTATAATTAGACCAAGGCCACAACTGAGTCTATACACACAAACATTCATAAGAGCACTCTTTGGGGGTAGCCAGGAACTGGAAACAAACTGAATTCTCACTGTCAGCCATTACTGAGGTTCATTCTAAGAAAAATAAACAAAATTAAGCTGCATGTGCATGTTTATTTCTCTCAAAGTTTGGGGGACATGCATATGGAGATATGCATCAGAGCTCACTGTGGAAAATGAGCCCAAGGAAGGACAGACAAAGGAGCTCTTAGATCTTCAGAGTAATTCCCTCTCACCCCTCCCTCCCTTCCTGGCTCAGGTTGCCTGTGTCAGCCAAAATTAGAGTCTCCATAGGTGTTAACCACAACATGAGGAAAGAATTTCTTAATTGGATAGATCGTAAATACAGTAAGATAAGAGAATGTCAAGGTATCAATTGAAATTACAGATCTAGGATGTCTGTGTTTCTTATATCATTAACATGACTATATATAGCGTAACATATGTCTATAAAATACCAAGATAAGAAAAAGTCCCATTATTCAAGATAGTGTCTGGTTCAAGGTGTCCTGCCCTGGACAGTCATAAACAGAAGAAGGCTTCTGATCAGCTTCATCCAGCCTTGTAGTTGCTGACACAGAAAGGAGCATTTTGGGTTCACTCTGAGAGCAAAGCAAAACATGTCTGTTATGCCAGAACATACAAGGCATTATGGTAGGTTAAACTCAGAGTGGTCCAAAATGTCTCTCCTGATTGGCCAATCCAGGTTGTAGGCCTTTCTGAGGTCTTAGGGGTTCAAAATGATTTGGGGAGGGGTTCACATCACCAATAAAGAATGACTACCAAAAAGTAGCATATGAATATAATAGACTTATTATACAGTAAGCAATGACAAATGTGAGTAATTCAAAAAAGCAATGAAAAATGTAGTGTGAAATAAGCAGAGCCAACAGAACCTTATACACAAAAAAAATCATTAGAAAAGATGCCAAACTCTGAGAAGCTGAATAAAATGTTAGCACTTCTCAGAAGATGGAGACCATAACAACAGGTATTTTTGTGTAACTGGGTTTCTTTGGTATAAAGGAGGATAAAATTTGGAGGATGAGGAAGATTTTTTCCAGAAATGACTGTGGTGAAATAGCAAAAAGCATTATAGAAAAAATAAAACAGCCTTTTTAATTGCTCCCTAACTACTCATTTACCAATGTATTCTAGGAATGTGTCAGAATTCAAAGTCACTGGCCTAGCTTTTGCAGAGTCTACTCTCCTTTTTGAAACTTGGCACATATCCCCTTTTCCAGTGCTGTGGCACCCCTCCCCATTTTCCAAGATTTTCCAGGGATACATGATAATGGCCAAGCAATTAAACACCTTATATAGCCCTATCAGAACAGCTAATTCCTGTTTGTCTCCTATTTTGGGTATCCACTTCTTATTGTCAACTTTTGGGCTCTCACTCCCACACCTAAACATGGCTCTCCCTATTCTCTGATCTCTTCCTTGCCTCCAAACTAGGTTTTGAAATCTTTATCACTAGAATCATTTCTTTCAGGGCTTTGTTGTCTCTCTACTATTTTTTTTACACTATTCTATTTCTTTTTTTTTTTTATTAATCCTCCACTAATGGTGCTTAAAAACATTTTTATTATCACGATTCATTATGCTTCAAGTCAATCAGCTATTAACAATTATAGTTGAGTCTCAAACACAAGCCTTCTGGTCTTCTTTTCATTATACTCTGCTGCTGTTTACTCTCTAATTCAATTTACTTTAACACAGCACTTCCCCAAAAAGCACTTAAGTCTTAAATCTCTCTTATACATTAGATAAAAAAGGTATGACACTAACAGGGTACCTGGAAAGAGGACCATCCACAACAAAAAAGATTCTTCTCATTCTTCCTCCTCCAGTCCCAGCAAGGAGGGCCACCCTTACAAAAAAAAATCTATTTTCTAACACCCCCCCCCAAAAAAAAACCCAAGGAAAATAAAGAAAAAACAATTAAAAGCATATAGTCTGTATTCAGAGTTCATCAGTTCTCTCTCTGGAGGATAGCATATTTTTTCACTGGTCCTTTGACACTGTCTTGGATCATTAATAGGAGTAGCTAAGTCTTTCACAATATTTTTACAATATCACTGTTACCGTGTACCATTCTCTTTTGGTTCTGTTCCCTCCATTTTGTGTAAGTTCATTTAAGTCCTCCCAGGTTTTACTGAATTCATCCCTTTGTAATTTCTTAATGCACCAATAGTATTCCATCACCATTATATATGCCACATCTTGTTCAGCCATTCCCCAATTGATGAGCATCCTTAAATTTCCAATTCTTTGCCACTACAAAAGAGCCAGGGCGAGTGGGAAGGGGTCAGGCAGAGTCAAGACAGCAGAGAAAAGGCAGGTACTTGGCTGAACTCTCCAAATTCCCTCCAAACAACTTTAAATCACACCTCAAAATGAATTCTGGAGTAGCAGACCCACAAAAGGACAGGATGAAACAATTTTCCAGCCGAAGTTAACTTAGGACTACAGGAAAGGTCTGTCTCACTCTGGTAAAAGGGAAGTGCAACCTAGCACAGGCAGTGTCTGGGCAAGCCAGTGGGAGGACACTAAGTCCCAGAACTGATCAGAAACTAAGGCTCATGGGCCTAGCATAGCAGGCCACCCCTGGTCCCAACACAAGTAGCCCAAGAGCACAGCTCAACTTTAAAAGTCAAGGCACAGGCTGGAAAATGAGTAAAAAACAAAACAAAACAAACAAACAAAAAATCCTTGACCACAGAAAGCTATTGTGGCAACAGGGCCGATTAAAACACCAACTCAGAAGAGGACAATAATATCAAAATCCCAACATGTGAAACCTCAGAAAAATACAGATTAGTC